GGGCTCGGAGAAGGGAATATTATATATCTTAGCCGTGTCGCCACTGCACTTTAGCAGTGCTCCTCAAAGTGGCCGAGCAAATGGGATACTTTATTGTCAAATTTATTTCGGATAGAGGGCATCTTTTGTGTCTGGACTTAGGGATTGGGATAGGAGTTCCCTCCTGGGGTTGTACTAGACCTCCACTTATTTTAACAAAGATTAGGTTTTGATGTTTTGTGTGGATAAATGAGTAATAATGAATGATTTAGATTTTTCAGTCAAATTCAATGCATGTACTTGTAAGAAAGGCATCAACAATACATTCCTGAGTGTTATCAATTCCCTTTTTCTGCAGAACAGATCATTTTGATTGATTGATTGAATGATTTTTATTCGACAAGCTTCCAACATACAACAATATACAATAATAACAGATCAAAAAAAGTCAGCTTGAACAGGATAACCCACGAAAGCTCGAGAGCTTATTTCCAGTGGGGTCCCTTACAGACATGTATAAAATTAATAAGTTAAAATAGTAATATTTACAGACAGATAAGAAAATTAAAAGAACTACTTATTAAAGATAATAATAATAATAACAACATTAAACTGATGATAGAAATGATAATTAAGTACAAGAAGAAAAAGAAGAAGGAGAAGAAGAAGAAGAGGAGAAGGAAGAAGAGGAAAATAATAATGAATTTGTAGAATTTCTATAACGTATCTTGGTATCTTGTTTTCTTCTCAATCCTTTCATTATATAAATTCAAATCAATCTTACATTTTTTTTGACTCCCCTCCTTTTTCTCACTTCCTGTACCTGCTTAAAAAAAAATTTCTCTCCCCCCCCCCTCTCCCTTTATCTATCTCATCCCTCTCTTTTTCTTCCTTCTTTCCTATCTCTCCCTCCCTCTGCCTCCCCCCCCCCTCCCTCCCCGTCACCCTCCCCCTCCCTCCCCGTCACCCTCCCCCTCCCTCCCCGTCACCCTCCCCGTCACCCTCCTTCCCCTTCCTCCCCCTCGCCGTCCCTATTCATTGTTCCACCCCTTCTCCATTTGAGCCACACTCCGGCTCTCATCTTCACCCTCATCATAGCCCTGCATTGGTTATGAGCAATTATGCCTGTAATTTGAACACGCCTGGATTTGACGTCAAGGCATTTCTTTGATAGTGCTACGTTTCGCCAGGTCGTTAGTGCGCTTTATAGCTTTGGGGTAAATAATGGCGGTGGTGTTCATATCAAATCATCAATTTCTTTGAATGATGAGGCAGTCCAATTTAGCATGATACATATTGTGCACAATCATTTTCTGATGCCACACATTAACAATATATGATATACATATATGTCTGCGCATATATTCCCAACCCCTTCTTTGTGACTTGTTTGTTTGTTTGTTTTGTTTGATTGATTTTATTTCTGCGTTCAAAAATATACAAATTCAAATTCAAAGTACAAAATTTCGAACAATAACAAATACAATGAATACAATGTTTACAAAAGTAATTAAATGAAAAATCATGTTCAATTATATCATTCGATAAACATGTACGAAGCATACAATAACATAAGAAATATGAAATATTTTCAATAAATTAGAGAGGTAATTTGGAACGCAGGAGACCGCCATCGTGAGCGGTTAGGCTGGAGATGGATGGCGGCCTCGTAAAAAGAATTGGCGACATAACTCTCTTCGAAAAACTGAGTGACCAAGAGGGTGCGGTGCAAGTGCAGGTGCAGTGAGCAGTTGCATGATAAAGAATAAATAAGTCACGGTTTTGTTATACTAATTTAGAGAGGGGGAGCATATGATTGTATTATTTGTCGTTTAAGTGTAGCTTTTAAGGAGTAGATGGTTGAACAAGACTTTATGTTGTCGGGTAAATCATTCCAAATGTCCGGGCCAGAATGTCTAACAGATTTGTGTGTTATTGATAATTTGGGGTTTGTAAGATGGAAGTTTCCAGATATGCGAGTAGAGTATGAATGAACGGAATTATTAAACCTAAACATGTTATCAAAGGATGGTGGAAGCAGATTATTAATGTACTTAAACATAATAACTGCTACTTGAGTAGTGTTCAGATCGAAATTTTTTAGTGTTTTAAGTTTATAGAATAAAGGATCAGTGTGAGCTAAGAAATGCGAACCTGTACAAATACGTATGGCTTTCTTTTGCAGTTTGAAAATAGAATTGATTTTTGTCGAACCACAATTTGCCCATACACTATTACAATATGTTATATACGGGAGAACTAGCGAATTATATAGTAGGAATAAGGTTGCATGGGGTAGAAGAAACTTTAACTTGGAGATTATTCCAATACTTATGCATTCTAGTTATCTCACAGTATGACAAAGATTAGTGATGGTTATTTGTCTACATGGATAGAAGAGGAAGGCCACACTTTTAATCTTATTGAAAACAAATTCTTTGTTAAATAGATTGATGGTTTCTTTATTTCAATTACTCTGAGAAAGTATGATATTGCTTACAGTGCTGTTTGATAGTGCTATGTTTTCTTACTTTTGTTACTTAATATTTTAGATGGCACCTCCAAAGTTAGATTATTATTTTTTTCAGCACAAAGAGAAATTAATAATATTGAAAACAAATAGTGTCAAACTATTTCGTATGATTAATACCGATAAATGAATTTGGATGTGAAGAAGTGGTGAGAATCGAACTAGAGACTGCAATTAGTTAAGTGGAAATGATGTGAAATGCAAAACACCGTGGCCTTGAATATAAATTTTAGTTTCTTTTATAATATACCGTTGGTAATGAATTGTGATAGCATTGTTATCATGAGACAAAGGAGTCCATAAGGCCTTAATTGTGTTACATAGAATTAGGTTATGGATCAGTTGATTAGAGATTGGTACACCACTTGTGTTGATCAAGCAACTTCAATGTTTTCAGTGTTTTAACTCCTAACAGCAAGATGCTAAGTAATTCATTTCTGTATTCATTACGATATATTCCAGCAATGGATTTTTAATCATCACATGAATTGACAATCGCATTACGTGAGGCTGTTTCTGTCATATAGTAGAATGAATTTTAATAAATCTGTGGACATCCAGACAACTGTTATTATAACCTTGGTCATGTGATTAATATATGACTGATTTCCACCTGATGAGAAGCCTTTCATGTCATTCAAGCATGTCATTGAAGACAACAAATCAACTGATTGTGGGAGTAAGAAATGCTAACTATCTTTTCTGATCTATTCTGTTGCTCAATGTAAAACACATTTTTAAAGTCATATTTTGTGTTTTCATATAATTTGACAGATATATTTATCTTTTCAAGTACACCAATGTTTGTAAAATGATGATTCATATCTTGATTGAAAACAAAATTATATTCAGGATTGAATATACGCTTAGCCAGAAACAATCAAAATATTTTTCAAAATAGCATAATTTCCTCCTTCTCCCCCTTCCTTTCCCCCGGAAATCCATCACAGTTTTCAGGATCATTTATCATACAAACATTGATATTTTCGTATAATTGATGAAAACAAAATAAGTTGAGGGATAGTATTACTCTGTGTTGCCAAGTAAGTAATCATAAACAAAGCTGAGACAAGCAAAATAAGAATTATTATAATCCAGATCATTAGTGTTGCAGGCCGATGATGCGATTAGGCGTCTTTCCAGTGTGGGCAACTGTCCAATTCTTAACAATCCTGTAAAAAGAATTTTGTATTCCTTGTCTGTCATCGTGCTATGGGTTTTTGTAGTCTAGGGCTATCAGAAGTTCTTTTTCAAAGAATGGATGGTAGAAGAGTCATAAGCTTTAATAGCCTTGGGTGGTGAAATATTTTATTAAAGAAATAACAAAAATATTCATAACTAATTGATTATTAGAAATAGTATGAAATTTTAGAGAGGATTTTGCATGTATATTACATCAATATGAAAATATTTACATGGCATAAAACTTGGTAGGGTCTGACCCTGCCAAGACTACTTGTCACTCTACATTAGTATAGTTTGTTGAAAATCTGGAAATTCAATCTTAGGATTTTCAGAGGGGGCTGCAACTTAGGCATGTCGCACGTTGCCTATGTTGACAAATTTCAAATTTCTGCCCTCCCGGCCCAAGCGAGGTTGATAGTGGTTTGACAGGGAAAAGGAGAGACCCTCATGCCTGGCTTGTGATTCAATCAGCGAGGTTCAACTGCCAGAAATAGGGTCTAACCTTCACCCCAGGGTGACTGACTGATCAGACCTACAACTTGTGAAAGAGAGAGAGAAAGAAAGATACAGAAAGAGAGAGAAAGAAATATACAGAGAGAGAGAGAGAGACAGAGAGAAAGAGAGAATGCATACTAGAGGGCCTGTCACACCTACCCGATGTACCTTGCCCGAACTAAACCGGAGTGCACACTTAACAACGCTGAGAAAATCGGCGGTGTTCTACCGGTGTAAGAGCCAATGTGCTACCGAATACCACTTTTCTGTCACTTAGTGTTACCGATGCGCATCCGCTGTTCTACTGATGTACCACCAAAGTGATCGAAGTGCCGGTACACATTGAGGCCACCGGAGAGCCGCTGGAGCCATACCAGAGTACTGCCGTTGTAGTCCCATTGCTCTCTCTGGCAGCACTGCCGTTGTAGTCCCATTGCTCTCTCCGGCAGCACAACGGCAGACATTTTTGAGCATGTAGAGGGACAGACAGACAGATGAACAGGCAGATAAAGAGAATGAACTTAAATCTTTATTGAGACATAGTTGAAGCATTGTGGCACTTGAGGAAAATAGATGCAGTGACGAGAATGTTTTGTTGTACAAGCTGACCCCTTCCTCCCTCTACTATCTTTCCCCCTGCTATTGGATTCATAATATTCATAAACACATCATCTGTCTATTCATATGACCCCTAAAATTCAATTAATTTCTTACATAATTGTTTGCATAATACAGTTACTTGATAAAAGCTCTGTAATTTTCAAATATTTAAATATTGTTATTGTCTCTTTCTCTCCTTTTATCACTGTAGACCTGAAGAGCATTTTGAGCGCTATGCCTCCTACCCTGGTCTTCGGCCTCCATTCCTGCCTCTGGGTTCACCCCATGCACAACTCTTCCCCCACCCAGCCATCAGCCCGCTCTTCACTGGGCTCCGCTACCCTGCAGACCTGCAGGCTGCTATGCAGATGCCCCATCTCTCACCAGGAGCCATGTCATTTGGGGGACTGGGTAACCCCATCACTGCAGCAGAAAGGTAACCTTTCCTCTTATTATTTGGTTTTGTTCGTATTTTTTTTAAAGGCTTCATATATATTATGTATTTGACCATTGTCTACAAATTGATTTGCAATATCACACAATTAATACCGTATTTGCCGGCGTAAAGGCCGCACCCTCGCATAGGCCGCACCCCCGATTTTGAAAAAAAAAAAAAAAAAAAAAAAAAAAAAAAAAAAAAAAAAAAAAAAAAATCGTTTTTTTTTGTTTGTTTTGTTGTTGTTTTGCTGCCGAAAACCCACGCGTGGAAGGACCTTCATTTAACATCGAGGTGCAGTTAAAGGCGCTGATTTGTGCTTGTAAACTTGTCACAAATAATAGTAACAATGTCGTTTTTAGAAGAATGTGTAAGATCATTAATGTGAATTAAAAACAATAAAGTACCTATGGTACCAGTGGTGTACCTTGTGGTACACCATTTGTTATAGAAAAAAATTTGAGGAACTATTATTATAAACTACATATTGAGATCTATTAGAAAGATTACTTTCAAACCAAGATGACAGTCAAATTTTAGTGTTGTTGTAGTTTCCGAGTGGTGAGTCAACACACTGATTACTGAGTTCGGAGACATTGCCAGGCATAGCGCCATAAATCGAAACTAAAAAAAAAAAAAAAAAAAAAAAAAAAAAAAAAAAAAAACTTTTTTTACTCTTTCGCCGCATAGGCCGCACCCCGACTTTTTGATATTTTCTCTTCCAAAAATACTGCGGCCTATACGCCGGCAAATACGGTACTCAAAATCTAAAATTCTGATCATTTCATGTCAGATTTTTCCAAGAAATGAGGTTTCTTTCTAAAACCCGACTTTATCTTTCAGAGTTCTGTAACCAAGGCCCGTAACCAAAAACTGATATAATAAGATAAGTTACTGAACAGTCCTTATTGGAAACTTAAAACACAATCACTGGAAGAGAATGTTTCTCCTATCTCCAGATTTTTAGGACATCTTTTCTCTTTCAAAAAAAATTGATGAAATGCCTTGAGAAAATATATTTCCTCTCATTTGGCAATGATTTATTGATACTCTAGTATTTATCCTTTAAACAAAGTGATTTTCTTCATATGCTTTTCAAGAAGAAATCTAAAATTGAATCTGTTGTACTGTATCTGATAAGGCATATTTACCTATATACTTTCATAACAGAGAGAAGGTGCTACAGGAGCAGCAGCGAGAGAGGGAACGAGAGCGACGTGCGGAGGAGTTGAGATTGGAGCAGAACCGAGAGAGGAGTAGGAGCGAGAGGGATTCAGCATCTCTTCATCACGACAGGGGTAGGGTTGATGAGAGGAGGTACTCCAACAGCCCAGCAAGAGGTATGTATATCACTCTATCAATAGCGTTGGTTGTGCAAGTGAATTAGTGCCTGCTTCTGGAATTATCTTGTATAGTACTGTCAAAACAGAAACTGTCTCAAATTTATGACACCAGCCATTTTTGTTGTGAGAAACTTCCAAAAGTTGCGACAATATATTGTTGAGATTCGGTTATTTGGGGGCGAGAAGCTTTCATACATCTTGAACACTCAATATAGATTTGCAGTACTTGCTTGACTGACAGGGTACAATATTGTTTTCCCATTCACAATGGAATGAGATTGAAATGAACATACTGTATAAGCTGTTATTTTCGCGAATTTTATATCATCATGGATTTTATCAACACGCCAAAATATTGGCACCTCATCATACCGGAGCGTTCCTTCTCTCATCGCGAATATATTGCACAGATTGCATGCTTCATCCTGACACGTAATTCTCTTACGTACCAGTGCAGTACTCTGCTATATGTGATGCGATGGGCTCTTAATGTGTTGGGCTCTTAATGTGTAGATATTGATGATACTCCCCTGATAGTCAGCAATCAAGTAGACACAGAAATAAACCTCCAAATAAATCTTTAAACAAACCATTCATAATAGTGTCTTTAACCAATTTGACTTCATCTTCAGTTGAACATATTGGAAATAAAGCTGATAAAGCAAGGAAAGCATTTTATCTTCATGTATTTATTGCTCATCCTCGTCCCCTCTAGATTCGTCAAGTTCCAGACGACCCCTGTCACACTCATCGGTGGGGTCCAGCAAACCCTCGCCCCAGGACCAAGCCCCCCTTCCCCTCCTCAAGAAGGCAGACAGGGAGGACAGATGGAGTGAGAAACACCGTCACACACCCCGCAGCGGACGGGAGGACCATCACCACAATCAGGAGTCCCCTACTAACTACTCCCAGCATAGAGTGAGTCAAACATCTTAAAAGTCATTTTCATCAATCTTTATTCAAATCTTTTGATAAAAGGCTAATCAAGAAAGAAGTCAAAGGAACATTAGTTCAATGAGGTCTAAATCATTAGATTACAACTTTTCACCTTGTCATTTGAATCATATCTGGAGCAAAAGTGTACCACTGGTGTGTTTTGCATATGGCAGTATAGACGTCAGTTTGCATTAAGGACACACAGTAGTCGGCTCTCATGGAGGAATTCGACACTGTTCAGTTATTTACCCTATAACAGGCGTTGTAGATTAGCCTTCAGTTTTGTGACCAAAATGCCTTATATAATGCCTTGTATTTCCTCATCCATTCCTCCACAAGGTAAAGTCATTATCTCACTTTTCCCTCACCCGAAGACTCTCCGAGAGACGAAGGGTTATTTCCATGGACCTACGGGTTCGCTGTGTGCAGACTTTTAAACACATTGATTGTATTTCCACCAAGTCTGGTGTCAGCGAATTATGGCCTTCTGCACATGGAAACTGACGACCCACTCCCTTTAAGTATTGATTCATAGCTTTGTTATCAGTCATTTATATTTTTGTTGTATTTGATAATTATCTATGAATGCAATATACTGCTACAACGCAAGTGGTGCTATTGATTTGTGTTTTAACTCCATGTGTACCATTGTTCTTTCCCTTTGGTTTCACAGGATATACCTTCCCATGATGCTACTCGCTACCTGTCAGACAGGGAGAGAAAAGCTCACCATGAGAGGGAGCTGTTACTACAACAAGACAGGAAGATTGCTGAAAGGTGAGCAGATCAAAATTATAGATTCTAATGTCACTTTTAGTGGTGCTGTGGATACAACATAAAAGTGAATGATTTGGTGTTACGCTTGGTGGCTTTTTAGTGTTTGTGTACAGGAGAACTGTGTTTCATTTATATGGATCCATGCTAATTACAGGTTTTAACCAGATTTTAAAACAAATATTAACTTATCAACAAAAAAAGTCCTTTCGTGTCAGTATTAATTAATTGTGGGTAATTGTTGTTAAACTTCGATTACCCTATTTTTGTAAACATGTAAATGAATTCTTAAATCAATTCAATTTATTTCAAGTTGGCTTTTCAAGTAAATGTGAGTGCAATAAAAACAGATAGAGTCCAAACATAATGAGATCAGTCATTCTGACATACATAAATCTTAATTTTCCTCCAGGCATGAAGCTGAACATCGGGAGAGACAGAGAGAAGAGCATTCCAGCCATCATCCACCTCCCCTGACCTCTCTGCATGGGTCATCGCACCTATCAGCACATGTATCCTCCCACGGGTCATCCCACGGGTCATCCCACGGGTCATCCCACGGGTCATCCCATGGGTCATCAACCCATGGCTTGCCACACCCCTCCACCACCCATGAGGTTCACAACAAGCTCAGTGCTTATAACAATCATAGAACAGTAGATTATGAACGCTTGCCCCCTTCAAGGACGTTACATAATGATAGCAAACATACCGAACGCATGCCCAGTGATCACAGACGGTTACAGCAAGCACATAGCGGCAGCGGTGGTGCTAGTAGCAACAGCAACAGTAAATCGGGTAGCCACGTACCGCTTAATTCCAATGTGGAGGACAAGGATTCACCGCGCCACACGCAGACTCTCTTGAAGAACCAGGCGCAGCTGGGACCCTATGACTTAAGCCACCCGCATGCAGAGTTCACAAGGCATATCCATGAGTTCTACCGCAATCAGCATATACGGGACGCTCTACCAGGTCACATGAACAGGTCAAGCTCTGAGCCAGCCATCAGTAAGCTGGATCTAGAGGAGAAGCGCAAGAGCGAGGAGAGACTCAACGGTGTCTATGCCTCTAGTGAGAGTGAATCAGACAGCGAGGAGGAGTTGGAGGATAAGCGGGAGCGGCATCGCAGGAGGATGATTCGCATCGTCAAACGATCCAGACTCAAGATGGATGCTAACGAGAAGAAGTTTGGATTCCTCAATACTATGGGATTAATCACTCATAAAGACAGGAGGGGTAAAGACACTACTGCTTATTCTAGAATGCATGTCTCACGTATCTCAAACAAGTCCCATAAATTGTGTTGACATTTTGGCCTTTTAAGTTTTAGTATCATCATGGTAATGACCTCTTAATCAGTGATTTTTAGGTTTGACATAAAAAAGTATGCTTGGAATAACATTGTACGATGTATCTGATCCGTGATTTTTTATATAGTAGGAGTTCAGATATGAAAATATGAAGTTTTTTGAGGTTATTGTGATTTAGCAAACATAGTTATCATGAGATATCTAACTGAAAAATATGCTATGGTAGATTTTATTCATAGATGAGAGATTCAGGACAATATTATCCTCAAATGAAGTTATTGTTCTTACCTGGACTGAATTTGTTGATATTGAGTGAACCTCATTTTCATTGTTGCCACAGAGGTGAGACGAGATCAGAGGCGGAAGAGGAGGCGGATCTATGGAGAGGACATGCCCCCAGCCAAGGTATCTAAGGTGATGCCCCAACCCCCTCTCTTACCCTCTGCTGCACCCCTCACCCAGGATGACTTTCAGAAGGAGCTCAACTACCCTCACAAGTGCCGCTTTCTCCGCATCTTTGGACTGGATACGCTCACACAGGAAAAGAAGCAAGGTGACGTCACTAATAAGTAGATGTTCAGAAAATGTGTATGTCATGTGATGATGAGAAGCAGTGTAACTCAGCTACCTGTGAGAAAGGGATTAACCCCCCCCCCCCCCCCCCCCCCCCCTGATGAAAAGCAATGTAACTCAGCTACCTGTGAGAAAGGGATTTAACCCCCCCCCCCCCCCCCCCTCCTGATGAAAAGCAGTGTAACTCAGCTACCTGTGAGAAAGGGATTAACCTCCCCCCCCCCTCCCGATGAGAAGCAGTGTAACTCAGCTACCTGTGAGAAAGGGATTAACCCCCCCCCCCCTCCTGATGAAAAGCAGTGTAACTCAGCTACCTGTGAGAAAGGGATTAACCCCCCCCCCCTCCCATCTCCCTTCAACGTTTTCATATGAAGGGCAGCCACTTAACGTTTGATGCACAAAGCATTCCTAGATTTGGACGAAAAGTTAACTTCTCTGTCAGTATTCCTTTATATCTACTTTATAGTTGTGCACTCTTTTAGATTTGAACAAGTTTTTGCATTCAAGCATTGTAGAGAACATCTTTTGGGTAGAAAAAAGAAAGTGCTTATTATGTAGCTACTGTTACCTGCCATTTTTTTCTTCTTCTTCATACCTGTTATGTGTATTTATCATGGTTTTAGTTCTATCAAGGTGTAGAGCATGGCATCAGTCTACTTTTGGTCGCGTATATATGTTTTCAATGGAAACTAATTCAAATTTTCTATTTATTCTTTTACTTTTCAGGCATGGCTAATGCCAAGAAAGCAGTAGAAGCAGACAGAGAACGTAAGATAAGGAGAGATAATAAAGATGGTGATGCACCACAGCCTAATAATGCCGATGCCCACAGCCCAGGTCAGTATCATTTATAACATTATTCTACTTATCCATGTGCAACTATTCCTTGCTTGCTAGTTGTCTCGTCAGTTCCAGACATTTGCTATCATGAGTCTCTATATACTGCTATTTATCTATCTATCTATCTACGTTTATTTGTAACATGCTGGCAGTGTTCTTATTTGTCAGTCACTTTAATGAATCTGTGTATCGTGTGGCTTTTAAAGTGAAAAACTGCATGTATGTAACTGCAGAATATTATTTACATTATAAGATAGGGAACCGTTTCCGGAAAGAGCTATCAAAGCTCAACCCAAACTAAATGGAATTGTCAGCTTTGTTGCGTGCAGCGTGGTGATTTTTACATGCCATTAAATAAGTGTCATAAAATAATATGTTTTTCTAATCTAGCTCTTTTTCCTATCTATTGCAGCAATAGATGCAGTGCTCCAGCAGAGATTACAAGAGGGAAAGGAGGGTTCCCCTTACATCAACTCTCACCCTGGTCTGCAGACCCCCCTCAACCACCTCCAGATCGACGACAAGTCCTCCACCCCACCTGTACCTCTAGGAACAATCCCGGGTTCAACTGCTGGTGCGGTGTCATCAACGACCAATCACAACAATGCACATTCCCCGAGCGACGTAGACTCCTCAGCATCATCAATGCCCGACCCTGCTTCTAATAACAACCAACAGCTACTGAAAACAGCACCTCCGGCAGGCAGCGGGGACGTGGTACCGACGAAGAGCGTGGATGCCATGCAGCTGAAGAAGGAAATCAAGCAAGAGGTGGTGAATGGTGAGTTGGCCAGCTATCGCAGGAGATCGGACGCCTCTTCATCTTCATCATCCTCATCGGAAACTGTGCTGAAACAGCCATCGCCATTCACTATCTCATCATTCCTCAACACCTCGCGACATAACTCAACAAACCCCATCTCGGATGGTTTCGCTCAGGAGTTCCATCAATCGGTGCTGAGATCTACTCAGGAGAAACTCAATCAAAAGAAAGGTACGAGACAGAGAGGTTGGAAGATAGATGTAGGGAAAGGTTAATGGAAGAACGAGGAAATACATTGACTGAAGATGGACAGAAAGAGAATCAGATCTAGATATGTAGGGGTTGATAAAAGTAATTGTAGTCTTCTTTGAAAACAAAATATGTATAGTTCACAGTTATACTATATGGAGACATAGGGATGCTTTATATTGTACAAATATATATCGTAACGTAGAAGTACCTTAAAACCTCAGATACATGGCTCTTAACAAGATAGTTTATTCCTTTTACATATTCAGTCATCAGACTTTGTACTTTCTGATGTAGACTTGCAACTTGTGTACATACTCTTTCTCTATCCAGGTGCAAGTTCAAACTCGTCTCAGAACGATTCAGCAGCTAAACGTGACTATCTCACCATTCCACCAACATCATCTTCATCATCAACATCATCATCATCATCATCGTCATCAACCTCCAGCAGGCATCAACACCACCACCAACATCATCCGCCTTCATCCACACCACCATCATCATCATCATCATCATCGTCATCATCCATCTTACCATCAGCTGCATCATCACAGCAGAGTAGCAGACACAAGCCACTAATGATGAATAACCGTCTCTATTCCTGGCCTGGATGGGAAGTCGTCTCAGAGTCATACCATAGATACCTAGCAGGTAGGAATCCAACCTAACATTAAATCTTGTTATGTGTGTTTGAAATTTACATCAACCAATTTGCTTTTGAAGTAGACATGTGAAAGGCCTTTGTTTGATTGGTAGAATGCAATGATGATTAAAGCATTATTATGTGTGTAGATATTTTAGAGTCTGTGATGTCTGATTTATAACTATTGAAAACCTGAAAATGTTCCTTGATGAGAAGTACACATTACACTATACTACTCCAAAACTATCCCAGAAATCTTCCATGTTATCACATCTAATCACATGAGCTTATTAACAGGGCTGTTAGTATCATCAAATACATTTTCTTGAAATTGACTTTCGTTCTTTTCAAACAGATCAACGATCAGAGAGATCCATGCTTTTGGAACACTTAACAGGCCTTACGCACCACAATGCAGAACTCAATGGCAATGCTGAACTGCTTGCAAGGAGGAAAAATGTAAGTATGTGTAAGAGGTCATGCCAGTGTTATAAAGTATCGTGTAATTTTGGCTTAGTTGGTAGAGTGGTCAGCTCTATTATCTGATGACGAAACAGTCTGAGGTTAAAACCGAGTTAAATATGGTCTCCAGCTGTGAATAGGTATATCTGATTGATACACTTCAAAACTTATCAAATACTCATCCATACAGAGTGGGAAAGGAAAATCAATTGAGAAAAAATTGAAATGAATTCTAGAAGGAAAAAAGAGAATACAGATACTGTAAAGAAACAATTTGAGAAAAGTTGGTCAAAGAATATTAAAGTTATGAACTTTTATTTCGCATAATACGTCCCGTTATTAGGAAAATGTATATTATGTTGAGGATATACCTCCATCATACACTTGGTGGGGAATCTTGTATATTAATGAACAAGAATACAATACATTTCTCAGAATACGTATAGTTATTTCTAGGGCTAGGGTTTTCTTTTGAGGTTGGTAGAAGCTTTGTTGTGATTATCCCAACCAATGAATGTTTTCTGAATCAGAATTGATATCTTCCTCTTTCTCTTTTTCTCATTGGCACACACCTCACAGGAGCTGACAGAGCGCATGTACGAGATGCAACGAGAATATGAGAACTACATGCGAGAAATGCATCTACTTAGGCAAAGAACAATGGACCTAGATAAGGCTACAAAATGATGTTGCTTGCCTGTCTAGTGAACTTATCACCAGCAATGAGAGAGTGCAGGGACCGTCAGCTCGCTCTTCTCAAACAGTAACGATGGTTGGCGTTGATTATAGTGAAAGTAAAAAGCCTTGCTGAGGATGTTTGCAATCTTATTCGATGGTGCATTGATCCATGTTGGATGTCTTAGTGTGCAGGTTATTGCCAGATAATCAAACAGACTTTTGAATTCCATTCCTTCGTTAGCTTATAGTCTCTGTTCTTCAGTTCAACAATTTTGATTTCCTTACTTATTATGGATGATGGAAGCGTGCAGTAGGATGTTCAGCAGAACAGGCCAGGAGCATAGGGGGAGATTTAGGATCAAGAATCGTGAGGTGTCTGTGGCTTTGTTTGGAGGAGTACTAATATCCTGCAGATACATGTGGCAGATGGATGAAAAAAAAACCAGAATCAAACTTCATCAACAAAACAACCAATAGAGAGGGTGCCCAAGTTTGCCGTGGATTAGGATGCAATGGAGTACAGAGGAAGGTTGAGTTTGTCAATGAGCGCAAAGTATTCGTGTTCATCACAACATGAAATACCGGAGGAGCAAAAATGTTGAAACATACATTTCCAATGTATTGTAACAAAAATGTTAACGTTTTGAAATAGATTTTCTTTTTTTAAAAAAGAAAATGTGGGATCAGTTGAATTTTAAAGCCGTCTCAGGTTACATATGATAAATGATAACTGTAAATCACTTGGAGAGATTTGTATTAAGCACTATAGAAATCCAAATTATTTATTTTTTATTATTGAAATTATCAAGAAGAAATTTAGAGGAACAGTAAAATCCAAAGTAATTTTCACAGAAAAGTTTCTAGACGTACACAAGACATGGGTGCTTCAGAGCAGTAGTACAAGTTCCTTGACAGAACACTATGTATTTTGATGGATGGAGAAAAGATTTTTGAAAAGATGCTTGAAAACATGGACCAAGAAAATTATAAATCAAAGTCTGACTCCTGACTGGAATGATCCATATATTTTCCAGTCTGGTGTTTTTTAACCACTCAAGAGCAGCTGTTAGATTTGTGAAGTGTTTCATTTGTTTACCCAACAATGTAACAATACTGAAGCTATGCTGTTAATGAATTTTTACAGTTTGCCTGCAAGATAAAACTAGAAAGCCTGCAACTATAGGACAAAAAAAGTATTTAATAGGTAACACTCAATTTCACCCCCCCCCCTTTATTTCATCACTTGAAATATCTACAGATTTTTTAAATTTTTTAAAATTTGTTGTTGTTGGTGTATCTCATTTTGTTTGTTCATTTCAAAGGAAATGCAGTTGGCACCATAGTATAAATTGACATTTTTGTAATAAACTTTGGCAGGCACTGTAAGAAAACTTGTTGAGAATGAGAGTGCTGTGAGCAATATGCATAGCATACATGGAGCTGCATGGCATTATGAAAGTCAGGTTAGCATAGTTAATGTACCTGTATATTTATTCTATGACGGGAAATGCTGTCTTAGATATGTTTGTCCGGCTAGCAGGGATATTTGGTTTTAGACATGCTATTTATTTTATTTATACAATCAAATTAACTTTGGTTTTCTCTGCTGTAGATTCTGTATTTTTGGCAGCTTTCCGTACATTTGTAGGATAGTCATTCCACATTATTTATTCACAATTGTAATTTCCCTGTTGATTTTGAAGGTTCTGATTTTTTAGAATAAAGGTATATATAAAGAATAAAGCATATTTTATGCCCACTGCTTGTTTTCATCAGCTAACACAAAACTACTCCAAAATATGGCAACTACCTATTACTGATATTAATCGTAATAACTGCTTTCATATAGCACTTATCACAATTGATAGGAATGGTTAAATTAAAGAAAGGCAAAACACATTAGAGTATCTTGAATATTTTATGAGAAGGAAAAGCAGAAGATACCAAACCAAGAACCAACCGGGAGGGGAACATTAATTAAGACATGGAGTGGAATGACACTTCAAGAGTCTATTGAGGTACCTGCAAACAGAGATATGTGTCAAAATGTTGTTGTCAATCTCAGAGCTCGGAAAAGATACCTTGATAGATAGATAGATCCAATTAACAAAGTGCTGTTCCTGGATGATTGGATTCAATTACAAGTGCACAGCCTTCACTTTACCATGGAGGGAGGGAGCTAGGGAGCATTCCTGCCTGCCAGTCTAGATTTCACATATGCATAAATCCAATCATAAACAATACATTCTTTCAAAGCAGACATACGGATTGAATCAAACTCCTATCTCACTACTACATGGTAGCACATGAGAGAAGAAAGCAATATTTATCCAAGACTTCTGTTTGTAATTCTTCGAAGATTGTGACTAAGTAGTCTTATTTTCATAAAAATCTAGACGAAGTGCTGCTACCATTTTCCAAGTTTGAACAAGTATAAGAGGGAAGTTAGGATAACTTGACTTTCTTGTTACATAAAGTTTGTTTAACTATCATTCTTCTTGTCACATAGCCTAATGTTATTTTGTTGTCCCTTATAAGTAAGCATCTTTATATCTTTGAAGCAAAGTGCAATCATGTAAAATACATTTCACTTAATGTTCATATCTATTATTATCCACTGCTGGATTAAAATGTTTTTTTCCTTGATGTTAGGAAATATCTTTCATAATTTATTAACATGTGAGACACCTCCCCCACCCATACAAGAATATTGCACCTGTGTGTTTTTATGTTCAACTGTACACCTGTTTGATTTTTTTTTTTTTTTTTAGGGATATGCGCTGTTGTAAATTTGTAAATATTGCAGTTTTTCACTCAAAGCAGTCCCTTTTTTATTCAATGTGGAGTTCTCTTTTATGTGTGGCAATATATGTATACATGTATATATGCATATATATGTTGTCATGTTGGTAGTTTTATACCTTGAATTTCATATGTAAAGTTGTTTTCAAAAGATTTCTAGTTTTACACAAACACTTTAATATTTATTTGAAGAAAAACAAGAAAAAAGGCAATTATAGATGTTAAATCTGTTTAGTTTGGTTTAATAATAATGTGATGACATTAGACTTGAAGTCTCTCTTTCACTCTGAAACCATTGGTATGAATACCTACAACACTCCATATGATATTTTTGTGAGTGTGAGAACTAGAGTGTTGGGAAATTGTTTCCTTATATTTCTTTCAATCTCAGCTATCGAATGTAATTCTGGGGAAACAATATTGGCCCATTCTCTTGTTCTTACAAATAATGACTAAACAGCGTTTTGGTCTTCAAAGAGTTATTGTGTTGAGAATGATTCAGCAATATAAACTGAGTTTGTAATGTAAGGACCAAAAATTGATGTTACAGTGGACCAACTTTTTTTTCCTTTTTCCCTTTATTTCTTTATGATAATTCCATGCTCATAGTCCGGACTACCTAGACCGGTACAGAAAGATATACATGCAGTGATTTTTTTTTTCTTCATATTTTTTTAATACATACTGTATCTGAAATCAATCCATTTGGATCAAATTTAAGAACGACAACATTAATGCTTAATTGTGTTATTATGTATCGAGTATTTATTAAATGGATAACACTTGATTTTGTTTTGATTTTACATGTACATGTTTTTCCACACAGGGTACTATTTATCCAATGTGTTTTTGTCTCCTTTTTTTTCTTTCTCAACACAATACAGATTTTTTTTTTTTTCAAGAAGTGCTGGAGTAAAGAAAAAGGCAGCCATCATAGTTCAGCTTCAGAATGTGGCAAAATATATTTATATTTAAGATTCCAAACTATTTTTCTGTTTGATTTTTAAACAAGAATTATTACAAATTGAAACAATGAGATAAAATAGAGCATCTATAATTGAATAATTATCATGTTGCAAATTTGTCATTTATGAAGGTTCCATATTAGCCGAAAGAAGATTATCGTAAGGCAGAGATTCACAAAACATCAGATTATTTTGAAATCTTTGTAGTCTTTAAAGACCCACTGCACCTCTCTATACAGCCAACAATGCCTAAGCGATACCCATTAATTCTCCATGATGCCCTTTTTCTTATGTTAAATGAGAGCTGATTTGATGAGATAACCACCTGTCAGTGATCTTGCAGGGAGGTCTAATCCCTCCATGCCAAACTAGTGCAAAGGGGCTTTAAAGCTTGAAAAAGAAAAAAGAAAAATGGACAAAAATCTATCACATTCGGTGATCTTGATTAACATAAACCTTGTATGATGTGACTAGAATACTTGTACGTTACTGTATGATAGGGTGGTTTCTTTTGATATATTTGTGTTCACTCAACAAAAAAATCTGTACTTATTGTGCATCTTTTGTCTTTGGAAATAGTGTAAATTTATGATCTAATATGAAGCACATGAATCTAATGATGGTTACAACTGTAAATAACACATTTTAGAAGAGACAAATTTTATCACGTGATTTGAATGTGATTTGAATGTGATGTTGATGGTGGAGACAGACAGACACAAACTATGTGTATGTCATGTACATTTCCATTCGTTTGTAAATCGTTTGAGAAATGTTCTTTTTATTTAGTGTTGTTAACTCGATACATTTGTTGTGAACATGAAGAGAGAGAGTGCGGGCCGGCACACAGAATTTCAGTGTGAGGATATGTCCAATGTGTCTTTATTTCTTTCCTCTTCATATCTTTGGACCGACATGTTATTTATTCCACGTTTTTGTGTTCTGTGAAGAATCAAGACTGTTGTGATGTCTTTTCCTAGTTTTTGTTTCATCACTCTCGTTGTGAGAGTTTGGAGTGCATTGTAGTTGTGTAAGATTCTCTTTCTTTTTTATTGTCTCTCAACCTTTCTGTTTTTTCTTTATTCCAAAGATATGTTTCTTGAAGAATAAAAAATTGCAATCACTCGTACATGTTGTTCTTTGAATTTCTTTGATGCAACGTTTATAATTATAATAGAAATGAAAGAATGAGAGGAAGAGGAATGAAGAAAGAATGTGAGCGTAGGTGAAGAGAAATATACAAAAGAAAGAAGGATAAATATTAAAAATATTCTGAAATAAGAGAGACAACTAAAATGAAGTATATACAGTTTATTTACACACATGATTATATCTTGATATCATTTATGTTAATTATCTTGTTTAGATACATGTAAAGCAAGATATTTCTTTTGGCGATGTACAGAATACAATATACAGAGTGAGTCAGAAAACATGTCCCACTTTTACAAAGTTATACAACTTTGTAAAAGTAAGGACATTTTTTCTGACTGATTGAAGTATGAATATTTAATCGTGGGTTTCATGATATGTCTTGATAGAGTTATCCATTTTTTACAAGACTGCCAGATCTCACTTGCGCCAAGTTGCTGGGTGAGGAATAAAATAGTGTTTTGAACAAAGACTCGTATGAAAAGTTGAGTGGCCGCTGTCCTCTTGGTGCGTATTGGCAGATGTTGCGCTTCATGATGATGATGATGATGATGATGATGATGATGATGATGATGATGATGATGATGATGATGATGATGATGATGATGATGATGATGATGATGATGATGATGATGATGATGATGATGATGATGATGATGATGATGATGATGATGATGATGATGATGATGATGATGATGATGATGATGATGATGATGATGACATGGTGGTGGTAGTGAATGTGTACTAAAGGGAAAGATTGTCAGGGTTATGCTACTTAAACATTCAGCGATCTTGATAAAAATCAATGCTTAATCAGAAAAGGGGAAAATATGAAACAATTGTCACTGTGTGTGTGTGTGTGTGTCTTTGTTCAATGCAGTGTTTTATTCCTCACCCAGTAACTTGGTGCAAGTGAGATCTGACAGTCTTGTTAAGATTGTCTGATGTTCAGTCATGCATGCAGAGATTCAAAGACATATCATGAAACCCATGATTGAATATTCATACTTCAAACAATACAACTTTTAAAAAGTGGGATATTTTTTCTGACTCACTCTGTATAGACGGTAGGCAAACATGTTGCAGACACAGAAATCTTGAGTTCTTGTATAAAGTAGAGTTCAATTTTACAGCTGACAACTCTTACATTATCCCAGGCTTAAACACAAAGTCCCATGTTTTACATGTCTGTATAACAGATTACCATTGTTTGAATTTACGTCCCAGGATTACCTGTATCTTCCTATTCATCATCTAAAATCAAAGAACTTAGACAAAAACAATTTGAGTTTTGTTTTAAACTGAACATGACCTTTAAAAGCTGATTAACATGCAGTATGTAACCTACGATAAGGCATAACACTCCCACATGCATACTGTAAACCAAGTTACAAACATATGACCCAATGATGTAGGCAGAGCTCATTACTAACGGGCATCCAGGACACATGGGCACCCAAAGTTTAGAGTTTAAACCTTCAAAACTCTGACATTTTTTACATAGGGCTCAAGCATAGGCTAAGCTAAGATGTCACCGTGTCCCTAAAGACGTTGGCTCCACAAACACATTCAAACCATTTTTGCCTATCTTAGGCAATTCTATATGCATTCTAGAAGGTGCTGCCTACTAGGTAGGATGTAACTTCTCCATCTCTACCCTGGTCTATCTTGCCTATTTGTTTCGACAACTGTCTCCATGAGTAAGTGTTTAGTGAAGCAAATGCTGTTCATTCTGAAAACGTGACTGAACCAGGTCAGTTGGTCTTTGGTAATGCTCAGGAATACGTACCCTGAAAACTCCAATCCAGACCCCCCCCCCCCCCAACCCCAAAATCAGTCAACTAAAGTTAGTGTGGAGCCCTGCTGTAGGTCTCTTGGCTATTCACCTACAAATACATACATTTGCATGTCTTTAGCATCCCAAGGTAAATAACACACAACAATACAATAATATGGTACTGTTATAACTTGTATAAACAGCTTTTCAATTCTGTCAACCTAGAAGGCTATAATACCTTGCATGAAAATAAAACCCATTTTGGATGACAGAACATGGGTAGAAGCAGGGAGTTGAATTCCTACTTGGAGAAATAGTGACAAAATCTATCCAAAACTAACATTTTCCCCAGGAAGAGCTGATAAAGTTACTGATTCAAAACTTATACCTTAGCCAATGAAATCTCGGTTTCAAATTTACATGTAGCTTGCAATAATAGTACAAATCATGCTACTGTACCTGAAATAAGCAAAATACATGTTAATCATGTCAGAATAATCTCATCAGGCAATTACACAAAGCAAGAGGATATACCGGTATGGTGGATTAACAATCCACAGCCCCATTTAGCAACACTAGTGTTTTGACGATTTCATGTGATGCATCATGGGACAAATTCATCATCGTATCAGCTGTGGCTTTGTTATATATATATACCCTTGGAGACCGGGCTAAGGGGATTTTACCAGAACTTTTGGGAGGGGAAGATTGGAATAGCTTTATATCCAGGAATTTTACAAATTTTCGGTCAGAATCAATGAGTGGTGGGTTCTGACACCTAAAATTCAATATAAAACTGTGCATTGATATGAGAACAATCAATCTCATTGAAAGAATTTACACATTTCAACCCGCTTTGGTCATTTCAAACGCTGGGTAGCATTTTGATGCGCTGCACTCATTGAATGATGTCAGATGATGAAAGATGATGAGCCCCAGGCTGAAAAATAGGTGTATCGCATCTTGCCGATGGGGGTGCTGTTTATTATGAATTTACCCATTGGCAATTCTATTTTCATTGACATATCCAGTAGACTTTTTTAGGCACCAACTCACAAATCACAAATCACAATTCTGAAATACTGAAGTACAAGCAAATGCAGTTATTAAAGCACCTGAAATTTATGGCAAAATAAAAGACATCCCCCACTTGATACTTGGTATCACAGTGGCAAATCTTTTAAACTTCTAACAAGGGCATGCATATGTTCAATAATGTAGTACTGAGAGATTCCTTTCTGTTACATGACATCTCAATTTCATTGTGATAATATGACTTGAATAATAAATGCATCTTTCAAGGTGTAGAACAACCCAATAGCAAATGATGAAATTGCAGTCATACAAAATGCTACCAATATTAGACAGATGAACACTGAGCACTTGACTGCTGGCCGTGCTGGGATAACTTGTGCTATTTAACTAAGGGATTAAACATAAAAATCAAATTTTGGCACCAACTTTGTCTTTGATTCTATGCATTATAATAATATCTGCTTCAATAGGGGCTCTTTTTAAATGGCAGGGACTCATTTAAAAACTGGGAATCCTTTTGAGTCTATGTTTATATATTTTCCCTATAATGTAATAGAAAAGCACTTTAAACAATTGCCCAGTTTTTTATTGAAATACGACTTGATTGTGTTTCAGGTACATTTTTATGAGCTTTAGCACAAGTTATCTCGGCCTTAGTATTCAGATTATTAACTTTCGCATTTGAAGGAAGCATTTGTAAACTGGGTTTGACCTAGTGCTATGCAAATGAGACTACTCATTCAAAGCCTCATATTCTATATTTTGTTTTAGTCCACATTCATACTCATCTCCTTGAGTATCCGCATGCAGGGTTTACTTTTATACATGTATATCAATTACAGAGATTGATTCCTTGGGGGGGGGGGGAGAACCATCAATTCCACAATGGCGCAATCTTGTCACAAACATAATGAAAAGTAACTCTTTGCAAAGATATACTCCTTGCTACAAAATGTTTTAAAGCCTTTAATTATTGCATAATACAAGTTTGTACTTATAACCTGGATTGTGTCATTACATGGATTCCATTCAAAGTCTGTTCAATGCATACAGCAAAGGTGACAGAGAAAAAACACGATATTAGCAACAGTGGGGATAATTTCTTTCCATCCAGACTTTTCAATGTATACATTGTACGCTGAAGACTGCAGATCAATACTGAGTTAATACTCTTCCTGAAGTTCCTGGCATATTACTTCCATTCAAATCTTGTTGATGCATACGTTATTGATGATCAGTATCAGTTGATGAGTTCACGGCATACGGTACTTATCATCCCAGAGTTTGTCAATGCATAAACAATAGATAATAGATCCAAATAACAATGGTCTCACATTGTGGTCCAAGTCCATGAGATCTAGTCCTAACTATCTTGAGTAGGACCTGGACCAGCGGTTAGGAGATTCATGCGTAATGTGTGCATGTGGTCCAGGGCTTGGGTAAGGAATGGTCGGACTGAGTTGATCTCCATTAATGACAAGTTATCAAGCTGAAAAAGAAATGCAAAATAATTGGATGAAATGCACATTTATAATCCACAACAATGCTTATATTGTTCATAAGAATAATTTCAAATTTAGGGTAAATATAGGACTACATGTTAATAATCAATAAAGAAAAGCAAAAATTGACATCCTTATTTTTAAAATTGAAAGTTTAAAGTAATAGACTGTGAGCATTGAACAATTCAAATGAAGAAAAGTGAGGAATGTAAATGTCTATACCGGGGTAATTTAGAAAACTTGGTCTTTATTGTGCAAATAGTACAGAAAAAACAGGTTCTGAAAATACAAAATCCTGTAAAAATGCCAGTAATGTAGTATCTCTGGAATTAAATTGCATTTCTGTAATGATAATGATATATATATCTTGCAAACATTTGAGGAAAAAAACAAATACAAAGAAAAAATGAAGGGACATATTTGAACTCACCCTGGCATGTGTCTCCTGATCCTTTACAAACTTGTCAATACTCTGCCTTAGTTTAGCCATCCTCAGATCCCAAATGTCTTTAATCAATGTGTTCACTTCATCAGCATTGGGTATATCATCTGTAGCACTGACAGGGGTTAAAAAAAACATTTAAGAATTAAGAAGAAGAATTTGTTTTTGTATTGACAACCTACCAAAAAAGAATAAAGAAAAGGCAAAACATACTGACAAACAGGACATTGGATATAAAATCATTGATCATGAATATATGATACAGATTAAAATTATATATTGATATTGTTGGTACTGAATTTGAATATGTAGATGATAATGATGATGACGGTGATGCCAATAAAATAAATCCAACTTACTGGCTGAGAAGTAGTTTAGTAACCTCCATGTAATGAGGGTTCACCATGGGCTGAAATACAGCTGAATCATGCTCCTGCTTCTTCACCTCTTCTAGTTTCTCTATTAAAAGAGAGAACATCAGTTATACTTACTTACTTATATTTACTTACTTTAATGAAATAACAGTAATTTGTTTGATAACTTTCTCGAACTTCAATGTGCATTTCTTTTTCAGAGCCAGTGAAAGAATTAATATCTTACTTTGATTTCAACAAGCTATTCTGTTTTAATCTTGACATCAACTACTACATGTATTTGTAGTAAGAATTCCCTGATCCCCACCCTTTGCCTGCTACACACATTTCAATTCCTCCCCCCCCCCCCTCTATCCTCTATGTTGTTATCCTGTACCTTTCTAATTCTTTTCACTAATGTTTCAGGAGCAAGAAACATACATAGCAGAACTACTATCACATGTCCCCCCCCCCCCGCCAATACCCTTACACTTGCTACCCCCCCCCCCCCTCCCCAACCCCCTCACACACCCAATAAGGCAATAACCTCTGGAAATCTTGAAACTTACCAACAAGCATCCAATCAGGGGGTTGGATACGACATTTCTGTCTCTGTTTTAGATTGATAGCCATCCAGAGGGGAACCTTCATGGGTAGACTGGGGTTGAACGGTCCCACATTACCCCCTATCAAGAAAACCTCATCATGGGAGAAGTTTGGAACAATCGTCACCTCCTCCTTTTCTGCCAGGAACTCCACTTCAGATGGATCCATATCCCAAATGTTCTGTTTACAATGTATAGCAGATATTGTTTCTCACATTCGCACAATCAGTTTCCTCACTCCAGGAATCGGCATCCAATTTGTTCTCCTCAAAATCTTCCAGTTTTAGGGGTTCTTGTGGACGGTGGAAGCAGAGCAGAAAATCCCAAACTTAGATATTCAAATTCAATCTTTTACCTGTAATCGTGGGAGGGCACAGAGAATACACTTCAAACTTTCCCCTAAAGCAAAACAATTGTGTTTTTTTATCCTCAGGTCGAATGATGATCAGTCAATTTTTTCACAGTCACTTCCATCAAATCAGATTTTCGGGGCTACATAAACATGTAAATGTATCTGATCAGCTGGTTTCCTCTTCCCCATTAAGCCTTTATCGGTCAACCTTGAAGAAGAATGCTGAACTAGCTGAAACAAAGGGAGTCAAGAAAGAAGAAAAATTAAGATGATATCAAAAACATAGTCTAGGTCTAGATCTAAATGTTAGAAACTTAGATCTGATGTTTAGACCTACCTTGAAAGCAAATGTTAACTAGAAATATCACAATTTGCATTGCCCCGCAATGCGAATCGTATGCCCGGCATTGGCAGCAATTTTTGTGTCATCCTTATGTTCAAAGACAGGACAAGATTCCCTCTCCCCTCCCTGAAACAAAAGGATGACGTAAAGATCGCCACTAGTGGCTCAGAATAATGTCAAGACTAGGAACAGCATCACAAAATAATATGTGTGTAATATGTGTAGATTAGAGTATAATGCATCTCTGTTGAAAATTTGAAATAAATCTGTCAAGAAATGAGGCAGTTAGAGCGCACAAAAGACAGCCGCGAAAATATGACCATTGACACAGGTGGCAGATTCACCAAACACTAAAGATCCATTTGATTTATCACGAATAACCCAAAACAAGTTTTGAGGCTAAAATTGTTCAAAAGAAAAATATAAATTCTCTTAAAATAAATAACAAATAGTGTCATTATCAAATGTAGATCATCAAACGATTTGCATATTTCTGTAAAGATTCTTAAACTGAAGAAAAACCGGTGAGTGTTTTTTTGTTGACAATCCAATCAAAAGGTAGTTGAAGGATTCCGTAATGTGATAGTTTATCAATACATACTTTTGTTGTTTATTGTGACGAGAAATTTTAGGCAAAATACCTTTTCTCAGCCAGTTAATATGGAATATAATAATAGATAGCCAATGAAATATGACCAATAAGGCAATGATGAGGTCACCTATCGAATATTATTGGAACTAAAACGTGAATGGTGAAGAGCATAAGCATCATGGTAGATCAATGCTAATTAAGGGATTGGGTAGAGTGCCCAGTATTCGGTCACTTATGCACTTGTTATTTGTAAGACGCACCTCTTGACCCCCGGGAATGGTGCGTCATTGTACCAATGTGAGTCATACATTTTGATACCATGACGCACCTTCCGTCACAGAAAGTGACACACCATTACATTCCATTGACGCACATTTGAGTCAAACATATGACACACCATTTCATGAAAATGACTAGCCAATGACGCACATTTGAGAAACACTTCTGCTTGGAGAAAGTGACGGTCCCATTGACACACTAAATGACGCAACGTGGTAAAGTGACTTACTATGACGCACATATGGGTCAGTATTGTGACGGACATTTTGCGGCCATGACGGTACAGTGCGTCGCGATTTTGGGGAACATGATGCAACCATGACGCACCATCCCCGGGGGTCAAAAGGTGCGTCTTACAAATGACACCTGCATTAAGGGGAAATCACTAATATTTTGAATTCTTACCTATTTTATTTTGCAATCTACCCATCAAAAGAAAAGAAAATTATTCTTTTAACAGGATTTTATAGTCACTTAAAATAAAGAATGATGTTAAGAAAAATATTTCTGAAAGAAGACGGAGCATTTTACTGCCCAGAATTCGGTCACGCGATTTGTGCGTGGTATCTCCGTTGCCAAGGAGCAAAGCGTATTTGCGCACTATTTTCACACAATTGCGCGATAAAGCACTGATTGTCAATGCGTTGACTGAATACTGGACGAGCAATACCGCATGTCAAGGGTATCGTATTATTTGTATAAATACCTCTTGCACATCGGCAAGTGCGTCATTTGCAAATTTGCTGCGATGGAGCGAACACGGAAGAGCTCCTCTTCACACACATACTAAATTCATTGCAACAGCACACATAGTTGTTTAGCAATAGACTTCTAGTTCTACATATGGCTATGCATGTTAGCGCATGTGCTAACAACAGAACGCAGAATTGCAGAAAGTAGTGCGACACTGACCAATTTCAAGCTAAGTTGGAGATCTTTCCGGGGCCATATCAGATTTAATTTTCAGAGTTAAGAAAAGTTGTTCAGCTGCCTGATTTTTGCAGGTTTCGCAGCTCATTAATTATTTTTTAAATTGTTACAGCTGTTGAAACGGCTGTCTGACCGAATACTGGGCGGCGCCCTACCCTTCATGCTTAAGAATGAGCATCCCAGAGAATTACGTACGTATCGAACTCGTCTATATTTTTCTCAAAATGATATTGAAACTAATCGTACATTTCGCGGCCCATAAAATAGCAACAAACTGACTTGTGATGGCGCTTTACAGCAATTAAAAAAGATATGACGGGTTCGGAGAAGTGACAACTCACTGTCGCGGAAGTTGTCGCTCATCTTGGCAAAGCAGTTTCGTGAAACACGTAGATCTAGTTGACAAGTTGCGCGACAGTGGCGAGATGTCATTGATATTGTAGTTATGACGGTTTCGAGAAACGGCCCCCTGCAGCTGCCTGCGCCTGCGACGTTTGGTTGAGCCTCGCCTCGGCACCAACGAATGTCAGTAGGCCTACACATATAACAACAAATGGGACCACAATAAGTACCGTATTTTGCAAAAAGTGAGGAGATGCGTTTGAATCATGAAAACTGGCCTAGTAACTCCATGGTTTGAATGAATCTTATTCAACAAACAATAAAATCTGAATACAACAGCATAAATCCATTTAGACTCAACACATTAATACTTACCAAATTAGATATCCGTTATTAAAAACAGTAACTTTTCAATTTCCCGCTGGCCTAGCCTATCAACATTTTCGCTGCTTCTCAGCTCCAGCTCTAATCTACATAATCTGGCTATATGCAGTGCATGCATGATATAGGCCGCCGCGCTGGGTCTCGGATTTGCGAACTGCCAATTCTGCGCCGCACTTTTTACACGACTGTTTAGCCACTTGTCTACAGGGCCCTCTTGAAAACAGTACTTTGATTACTGACGGGGCTAGCCTGTTTAAATAAAACGGAATAAATAAATAAATAAACAAAATTAGCCGGCCGACCGACATCTCACCGAGTAATTCAAACTTCTGCATATAGGATTGAGCGACCGACACAGCTGACCCGACACAGCAACATTATCTATGCGTATCTTTCTTGCTCCCTCGACGAGACGACTCCACCCAACAACCCCCTCCCTCTCTAACTCCCAACCCCTCCTCTCTCATAGGCGCGGATCCAGGCACCGAGCGGGCCTTTTTTTTAAATTTGCGCTAACTATGCCACCTCCCCCCCCCCCCCATTTTTTTTTTTTTTATATCTGGTCTCAAATTTTTCGGGGCCAAAATAAGAAAAAATTGTGCTCACCCCTTCCCCCTGTTAGCGACGCCCCTGGTTGTTATTCCATTATTCTTTTAAAAGAAATGCAGTTCCTCACGCTCTCGCGCCTCTCTTCTATCGGTGTTAAGTTCTCTTTAATTTTTATTCCTTTCAAAAATCTCTTTCCCCCCATCTCTTCTTGTGCTTTTTTTTTTGGGGGGGGGAGCAAGAGGGACCCCATATTATGCACACTGCAAAATAGCGTCCCCGCCCCTTTCCCCGTAAAAAAAACGCCTTCTTATTAATATTTTTATCTTTTCCCTTCTCATTATTCTCATTTCCCATCTTTTCACTCCTCCGTCTTTCCCCCTTTTTTCCTTTCCCCCTCCTTTTTCTCCTCTCCCCTTTTCTCTCCTCCCTCTTTTCTTCTTTCTCTCTTCCCTTTTTCTTTTCCCCCTTCCCCTCCCCCTTTTTAACGGGGGGGGGGGGGACACGTACCCCCTCAGGGGCGGATCTAGCTTTTTGCTAAGGGGGGGTTTGACCAAAATAATGACGATGCGGAGCATCGTCCACGAGCCGCGAAGCTGCGAGCCGATTTTTTTGGGGGGGTGTTTATTTGAACCCCGTAAGTGATGTTTTCCTGGCATCTATTAACACAATGGAGACCATAAAAAGCAGTGCATGATAACGTCTTTTTAAATCAAGTAACAGTTTAATACATAGTTATATCCAGAGTTATCATGTGTTTGGTTAAGTTACCAGATGAGTTGAATATCTTCTCACAATATTTGCACTTGAAAGGGTTTCTCTCCAGCGTGCGTTCTTTTTTCTTTCTTTTTTTCTTTTTTTTTTCTTTTTTTTTCCTTTTTTTTTTTTGGGGGGGGGGGGCCGCCCAAGGGGGGGGGGTTGCAACCCCCCCAACCCCCCCTCTAGATCCGCTTCTGCCCCTATGCCCCCCTGATTTAATGCCCTAAAACTCCTGAGCTTCTGGAAAATTTGCTCATTACGCCATTGGTTCAAGGCAAAATTGCAAACCCAAAATCAGGAAAGATCAGAAATATAGACCCTGAATTTGATGAGACAAATTATAATGTTGTTCGAATCGAAGTACGTATATAGGCTTACGTCCGTATAGAGCCGCACTCGTGAGCCAGTAGAGATACGATATACACAAGACAGTCAACGTCGTGGAGTTCGACCTTCATCTATCAATAAAAACTTTAGAAAGTAGAAGACCGGAAATATTAGTAATTGGCAAACCTATTTTTGGGCGAAAAAGGCCTCGAAACCCCTACACATTTTAAAGGGTCATTTTGGAAGAAAAAATGTACCCATTTCTCACAATTTTCGTGTGTTCGCCATGCAAACACCCGAAAATTTCGGAATTTCTGAAAAACGGACCCATGTTTAATACCATATATTTGTAAAACATGGGACCCATGTTTAGCGATTTTGTATGAAAAAAGCGACCCATTAGAGCGGCACATCTCCGTATGACTTAATCAGTGGGTATCACCCCCCCCCCCCCCCGGGGCGGGGGGGGGGGGGGGCAGGAGCGTCGCTATAGACCTTTTTAACTGGGGGTGTAGAGGCCAAAGATTACCGACAAAACTAGCCACCAATTACCGACAAAATTAAATGTCCCAATATCTACAAATTTAACCCTATAACCCTGGGGCCGAAGGCTCAATTGTTTTTCCTATGGACTATCTAGTACTTGCGTATGCGCAAATGGTCATTTTCCTCAACGACATAAACATACGAATTCGTCAACTTTGTAGTCACCATCATAGCTATATATTTTAATGCAGGCGCGGAGCTAGGATCTTATTTTAGGGTAGGGGGGCGGTAGTGAGCAAGCGAATCATTAGGGGGTGTGGGTGATAGGCCTCCCGCGCGAAGCGCGGAAGCTTAGACGTTTCCTTAAATTATTAGGAAAGGAGACGATTTATTGTACCGTTTTGGACTGTTAATCCTTGTCTTAATGAAGTTTCCCCCTCCCGCGCGAAGCGCTAAGGCTTGGACGTTTCATTAAATTATTATGAAAAGAAGACGATTTGATGTTCCATTCTCGACTGTTAATCCTTGTCTGAATTCAGTTTCTCCCCCTCCCGCGCGAAGCGCGGAAGCTTTGACATTTCATTACATTTTGAGAAAAAGCAGACGATTCGGTGTACTGTTCTCGACAATTAATCCTTGTCTGAATTCAGTTTCTCCCCCTCCCGCCCGAAGCGCAAAAGCTTGGACGTTTCATTAAATTATTATAAAAAGAAGACGAATTGCTGTACCATTCTCGACTGTTAATCCTTGTCTGAATTCAGTTTCTCCCCTCCCGCGCGAAGCGCTGAAGCTTTGCATTTCATTTCATTATGAGAAAAAGCAGACGATTCGGTGTACTATTCTCGACTCTTAATCCTCATCTGAATTCAGTTCTCCCCCTCCCGCGCGAAGCGCTGAAAGCATTGAGCGTACATTAAATTATTATAAAAAGAAGACGATTTGATGTTCCATTCTCGACTGTTAATCCTTGTCTGAATTCAGTTTCTTCCTCTTCCGCGCGAAGCGCGGAACTTTTAGCGTTTCATCAAATTATTAGAGAAAGTATACGATTCGTTGAACCGTGCTCGACCCTTAATCCTCGTCTGAATTCAGTTTCTCCCCCTCCCGCGCGAAGCGCGGAAGCTTTGACATTTTATTACATTTTGAGAAAAAGCAGACGATTCGGTGTACCATTCTCGACTGTTAATCCTTGTCTGAATTCAGATTTCCACCTCCCGCCCGAAGCGCGAAAGCTTGGACGTTTCATTAAATTATTATAAAAAGAAGACGATTTGCTGTACCATTCTCGACTCTCGGAAGCCTTGCATTTCATTATGAGAAAAAGCAGACGATTCGGTGTACTATTCTCGACTCTTAATCCTTATCTGAAATCATTTCTCCCCCTCCCGCGCGAAGCGCAGAACTTTTGGCGTTTCATTAAATAATTAGAGAAAGTAGACGATTCATAAAACCGTGCTCGACTCTTAATAAGCCCTATTTGTCTGAATTCAGTGTCCCCTCACGCGCGAAAGCTTTGACGATTCATTAAATTTTGAGAAAAAGCAGACGATTCGGTGTATTGTTGTCCGAATCCTTATCTGAATTCAGTTCTCCCCCTCACGCGCGAAGCGCGGAAGTTTTCACGTTTCATTAAATTATTAGAGAAAGTAGACGATTCGTTGAACCGTGCTCGACTCTTAATCCTTGTCTGAATTAAGTTTCCCTCTCCCACGCGAAGCGCGGAAGTTTTGACGTTTCATTAAATTATTAGAGAAAGTAAACGATTCGTTGTACCGTTTTTGACTCTTAATAAGCCCTAATTTATCTGAATTCAGTTTCCCACCTTTAGCGCGAAGCTTTGACGTTTCCTTGAATAATTAGAGAAAGCAGACTATTCGTTGTACCGTTTTCGACTCTTAATCCTTGTCTGAATTCAGTTTTCCCCTTCCCGCACGAAGCGCGATAAGCTTAGACGTTTCCTTAAATTATAAGAGAAAGCAGACGATTCGTTGTACCGTTTTAGACCCTTAATAAGCCCTATTTGCCTGAATTCAGTTCCCCCCCCCCCCCCTCTCGCGCGAAGCGCAGAAGCTCTGATGTTTCCTTAAATTATTAGAGAAAGCAGACGATTCGATGTATCGTTCGCGACTCTTAACCCTAATTTGTCTGAAATCAGTTTCCCTCCTCCCGCTCGAAGCGCCGAAGCTTTGACGTTTTATCAAAATATAGAGAAAGGAATTAGACGATTCGTCGTACCGTTGTTGACTCTTAATCCTTGTTTGAATTTAGTTTCCCCGAAAATTGTAAACCTCTGATTTCTTTAGCTGATATTATAGGAAAGTGAAACTTCGAGAAAATACAAGTACCGGTATTGTAGTTGTAGTCACTCTCGAAGTCGTCACAGCGGATAAAAAATCACTGTTCGTAGGGAAAAAAACTTGTCGGCCGACCGACAATATAATGTACATCCCACCGACTTCAAACTTCTGAATTGATATAGTACACGAGGACCGAGCAAGAATACCGACGTAGCTGACCCGACACAGCAACATATTTACCCGTGTCTTTCTTGCTCCCTCGACGAGACGACTCCACACAATAATCCCCCCCTCCTCTCTTTTACTCCCACTCCTCCTCTCTCAGGCTCTTACCTCCCCTCTCTCCTCTCCAAGGGTGTCGATTTGTATTCGTGGTTGGGGGGGGGGGGGATGATAGGTGCCAAAATATTTTCGGCAATGGATCAAAGCAACCAAGAGGTAGAAGCGTGTGGCAGGTTACACCCCCTCCCCAAGCGCGTAGCCAGGATTTTCATTTTAGGGGGGGGGGGGTGGTAGTGAGCACGCGAAGCGCGCTCCCTATAGGGGGTTGGGTGCAGGGAGAGGGGAGTTTCCCCCCTCCCCCGCAAAGCGCGAAAGCTTTGACGTTTCATTAAATTATTAGAGGCAGAAGACGATTCGTTGGACCGTTCTCGACTCTGAATCCTTGTTTGAATCAAGTTCCCCTTCCTCCGCGCGTAGCGCGGAAGCTCTGACGTTTCAATAAATTATTAGAGAACTTGATTCGTTGTATCGTGTCCTTTTCTGAGTACAATTTCCTCGCCCTCCCGCGCAAAGAGCCGGAGCTTTGACGTTTCAATAAATTATTACTCTTAATCCTTGTCTGTATTCATTTTCGCCCATCCAGCGCTATAAGCGCGGAAGCTTTACCGTTTCATTAAATTATTAGAGAAGGAAGACGATTCGTTGTATCGTGTCCTTGTCTGAATTGAGTTTCCCCCCTCCCGCGCTCAGCTCAGAAGCTTTGACGTTCCATTTGATTATTACTCTTAACCCACGTCTGAAATCATTTTCGCCCATCCCGCGCGTAGCGCGGAAGCTTTTAAGTTTTATTAAATTATTAGAAAAAGAAGACGATTCGTTGTATCGTGTACTTTGACGTTTCATTGAATTATAACTCTTAATCCTAGTCTGAATTCAGTTGCCCTCCCTCCCGCGTTTCACTAAATTATTAGAGTAAGAAGACGATTCGTTGTACTGGTCTCTATATTAATCCTTGTCTGAATTCAGTTTCCCCACATGATGTACTGTACGTATGGAACCGTTCGTTCGCAAATCTTTGCATGCACAGCCCAAGTGGTGAGTAGCATGTTATCTCCCGGCAGTGCTTGTCGCAATAGCTTCTGGAAAGGAATTGTATATAATACTACTGTTAGTGTTAACGGCCACTAATTAGGCCCATTAGTGACTATACAATATATGCTCTTTCTGGCTATTTGGGAAAGTGTCAGTTTGCAACAGAAATGGAGAAACGCGAATTTTGTTGAAAATCATATATCACGAACATTTATAAATCACTTGTATGAAATTGAAAATAAGTCATGGGTTGGATTTTATGGCCCCCCTCCCAAGCCCCCCCCCCCCCCCCCACCAGTACGCCAGTGACATAGGCCTACATCAGCTTTTCAATAAAACAAAAATAAGTTGTGACATAATAATCTTTCTCCAAAAATGAAAAATGTTTTAGGAAATATCAGGAAATAAAATGAGTGAAAAAAAATAAAATAAAGATGCAATGACGTGAATTTTAAAAAGGGTGAACGGAAACAACATAACAACTAGTGAACTATTTTATAAGTCATACTAATGTCCGAAAATCTTTTCCCTTGTCTCCGATCTCATCACGAATTCGTCACAGAGTTCATCTATGTTTACACTGTCCAGGATTGTCTGATGTGCATTGCAGATTGCTACTTTTGCGCTTCGCGCTTAACATTTAGCTCGTTGCTTTTTAACGCTGCGTCTCATTTGGCGCTCTACATTTCTATGATGCTGTTGATTGAACAAATCGAAAAAATTCATCAATTCCTGATGAAGCCGTATGAGCGAGAATTCAATTTATTCTTGTCTCATATACGGTTGTCTCATTTACTTTGATTATGTATGTATTATGAAAATATTGGGGGATATATCCCCCCTATCCCCCTCGGGATCGACACCCATGCTCCTCTCTTTCATCCCCCGTTTCTTTTGTTTCCCTTTTCTCTTTTTTTTTCTTCTTTTTTTCCTTTTCTTTCTTTCTTCTTTTCCTTTCTTTCCTTTCTTTTCCTTTCCCTCTCTTTTTTTCCCTCCCCCTGTTTTTTCTCTTTTCCCGACAGCAGCGCAATTTTACCGACAATATCCTGACAGGTGGGGGGTGTCGCACCCCCACACCCCCCCCCCCCCCTTTTGGAGACGCCCCAGGCTGGGGGGACGTGCTCGTTTCGTGAGTTGGCATTTTCCGATGAACTAGCCGACATCTCTGCTTTTTCTAAAAACTATCTGGTCTAAATCCAGGCATAGTCCTCACTGATCTGTCTGGATCTGCATGTAAAAAGAAATACATGCAGGCCTGAACTTCAAAATTAAACCCCTTCATTTTTTCCCCTTCGTTTCGGTAAATAGCCCTTGTCAGACCTCCACAAAGTGTAAAAAAATGACCAAAACAAGATTTCTTTTGAGATATGACCATGATGATATGACCATAATGACTGTTACGTGTACTACAATAATACGGGTATTAATTTAAAATAAAATTATACAGATCAAACATGGGCTTTCCCCCTTCTTTCTTTTTCTTTTTCGATCTTCTTCTCCTTCGTCTCCTTTTTAAATTTTTGTTCTTCTTCTTCTTCTTCTTCTTCTTCTTCCTTTTTTCCCTTTTTCTTTTTCTCCTTTTTTTCTTCTTCTTCTTTCTTCTTGGCCTCAGAAGCTGTAGCAAAAATACGAAAACTTGATTACAGCATTGGACTCCATGATGCTTCCTGGAGCTTTGGCATACGGATGTACCTGGTAATATGGCCACTCGGCGGCTTCATTGTTGGTAGAGCCAATGCAAATGAGATATATCCAGATTTTTTTCGTACGGTGTACACCCACGAGTAGGCGCTATTTTGCACGGTCATATCAAACTACTTTATTTTATGGTAGACAATTAGACATTATAATATTTTTAGCATCATATATCTTTTAATTTTTATACAATCTCTTTAGATATTATTTTATGTTTAAATTTTGTTGGCCATGTTTTTGATGTATCATTTATCTAAATATTTAAAAAAACGTACAACTGAACGAGTATGTAAAGTGAATCGCGAAATTCAAATTGCAACGTCTTTTTATTTCAAAACAACGGCGAAACGTTTTTGTGTTGCATATATTGAATCAAATTCGGTTCGTTATCCATTGGTTTATCGTGGAAATCATGGACCCTTTGACTGAGGTTCGTATACATTTATTTTGGAATAAATCTTCGCAATTTGTCCAAATGCATTGAGTGCATTTTGTGTGGAATGAATCATTGAAATTAATTAGAATGCTGTGTTGAATTTAGGGTGCGGTGCAGTTTATGTCCATGAGCATGATGAGTAGTGCAGAGTCTGAGAGTGGCAGTGCGGTCCCGCAGCGCAGCGGCCGTGCTTACAATTATTACCGTGTGTGTGTCGACTAGATTGTCTAAACTGATATTTGATATAGATCTAGGGTAACCTGACACATGCTCCGCCAACGATTGCTCCGCGACATTTGCTCCGCGACATTTGCTCCGCGACATTTGCTCCGCGACATTTGCTCCGCGACATTTGCTCCGCGACATTTGCTCCCCTGACAATTGCTCCGCCGACATTTGCTCCGCCGACATTTGCTCCGCCGACAATTGCTCCGCCGACAAATGCTGCTCGAACGACAGTTGCTCCGCCGACAATTGCTCCACCGACACTTGCTCCGGTGACCAGTAGGCAGGTAGGGGCGCTGGTCCAAGAATGAGGATCGTCCTTATAAACAAGGATATCCTCATAATAGGGTGTCTGAACGATTTTTCAATTTTCAATTTGGGATCGTTTTTCACCATTTTTGTTTGATATTTGAATAAAAAATGTTATCAGAATAATACATTTCAAATTTCAAGTCTCACCGATGTTTCTATCAAAAGTTACAGCCCCTCCAACACGCTGGTATATTCATATCATTTTGGTCAAAATCGACGAAAAAGACGTCCACGCAGAGTGATGTTGTTTTGCTAAATTTAGCCAAACAGCTGTATCGCGCGATATGCAAGCGTATGCATATCGTACGCATGCTGCTAAGCCAATCCGCGACTTGCAGCTTGAGCTACGCTGTCTCCGCGACATGTGCGATTGACTAGTATGGTTGGCGTTCGTCGCACAATAAACCCGGAAGTGAATGCACGTTATAGTCAATGGCAATATCGCGGAGACAACGCACGTTGTCTCCGCGATATTGCCATTGACTATAACGTGTATTCACTTCCGGGTTTATCGAGGGAATTGCCAACCATAATTTCAGTCACTATAATGTGTAATTGAATTTGGGGTTTCGTTCGTGCGCGGAGATGTTACGCGATGTAACCATGGTTTGGACTGAGCGGAGCGCACGCCTCCTAATTAGCTGATCCACCAAATAGCGAGAAGGGTATTTTTAAACTGTTATCAGTTGTGATCCCTGGGGGCTAGCGAAAATATAATCACATAGAATTGTTCCTTAGGACTGGGACTACTTATCGATCGGGGCGTCATATCTCAAAAGTGACAAACCTCAGAGTTAGCCAGGACACAATGTTTAAATTGCTGTTTTGACCAAGATATTTTTAGAATTTCGGGGGCTACGCCCCTTTGGAAATATTGGAATTCACCTGCTCTTTCATATGACACCTCATTCATTGATTATCACCTTCAGGATCACAACTGATAAAGGTTTGAATCTCGATTTGAAAAAAAAAAATTGACTTTTTTTGCATGGTCGCGCAATGCACGTAGGCTGCATAGGGATGCGTGTAATCTCTATGGGAAGAATTTTAGCACACAACATCGGGTGCGCGATCAGACACCCTACTCATAAACGCAGACAAAATGTGTCCTCAAAAATAAGGGTTGTCTGCATTTTCGAGGACGTTTTTTTTCATCGGCGCTCTGGGGGTTTCATGTTACAGAACGGCCTGCTGGCGATGCCAAAAATGGATTCCCCAGGGGAAAATAAAGTCCCTAGTTCACTGTCTACTTTTACGGGTTGTCCGTCTTCCCAAGGATTTATTGCTCATAATGTGAAGATCTCTGTACAAAGTCAATGTAAAATGATTCAAGAAAATCATTGCAGAATCCGTTTTTTGCATCGCCAATGCGCCGATCAAAAATATGAAATGTCTGCGAAAATGCAGACGGTCCTTATTTTTGAGGACGCATCGGTCTGTGTTTATGAAGACGATCCTTATTCTCGGACCAGCGCCCCTACTGGTGACATTTGCTCCGCATAAAGCGACACTTGCTAATTGCTCCGGTGTCATTTGCTCCGACGACATTTGCTCCGCCCAAAAAGTGTCCCATAAAATACAAATGCTACTAGATCTAGTACTAGATCTAGACCTAGGCCTACTAGTAGTACTAGTACTAGTACTACTAGCTGACTAGACCTTAGATCTAGTCTATGACAAATGCTTCGCCGACAATACATTTTTTTCACGGGTTATTTTCATTTTTTCTTTTTCTTCATTTTCTGAATATTTTAGATGAAATGAATGAATGTTGATGATGTGGGAGGAAAAAAGAGTTACCTAAAAGTCATTTCGAATATACTGAAATAACTTTCCATCTATCACTGTACGTCCCATATAGACTAATGTACACTAGACTAGTCTAAACACATATGTCATGGGAAGTTTTTGAAGAAAGTAGAGGAGCAAGCCACATTCCCCAATACGCGCACAACCTACCTCTTAGTTAATTTCAAACAGCTCATCAATATGTAAGACCTGAAATGACCTCAATGCAAGCAAGCACATGCATCTTAGTAGATAAACCAGTAAAGCATTATACAATGTACTACTAGATCTAGGTCATCATGGAAGTTCTAGAAAACAACAGGGGAGGTATCAAAATAAGCTTTGAAGGGCACTATATACTTAATAAAGAAAAGAAGAGAATGAGAACCCATTCAGACGGGAAAATTAGATGGCAGCCTTTCTGTTTTCCCATTTATACAAATCATTTTGTTGTAGTTTGATGTTAGTTCTTCATGATAAGCCAATTGCTCTTCTTCCGGTGGCTCCGTGAGTCCCTTAAGGGCAAGTACACTCAAAAAATAACTTCCATTTCAATAGAAGCAGAAAAATCAGACAAACCAATCAAAAAAAGTTTGAGCAAAATCGGATAACTAATAAGAAAGTCATGATTTTTTGAAAAAGTATGTAAACTATGGAGTATGGAACAATGAAAATCACAACACAATTTGCCAAGAGGGTTATCAGTTTGTGACGTCATGTCCTCACAACTGATCAATTGCTTTATATAGTTTAATCCCATTAATTTTCCTTTTTATCCCTCAAAACTTGATTTCCCCATGCCTTTGCCCAGGTTATATCATTTGTAATTTTGTATCATATTGCATGCATGACATTTCCCAAAAACTTTTATGAATTTTGAAGAATTGATACTATTAACTATTTTCTGAATATTGTATTTCAAAATTATTGATTTTAAATAGTTTATCAAAATTCAATTTTTCATGATTTAACTGGACATATATTACTCTTTATTTGTGCATCCACACATAAAAGTATTACTAACAATTTAGCTTGGATGCTGTTGTGAAGAAATAAGATTCTTAGGGTGAAAAATAGGAAATTTATATTATCAATATAAAGAAAATAATTAGTGGATAGTGAGGACCATACGTCACAGACTCGTGTCATTAAAAATTCATAACTTTCTTATTAGTTATCCGATTTTGCTCAAACTTTTTTTGATTGGTCTGTCTGATTTTTCTGGTTCTATTGAAAGTAACTTATTTTTGGAGTGGACTTGGACTTTAAAGTCAGTGAAAACAAAGTACTCAAATGAGACGGGGTGTTTTACACACTAACATATACAGTGTGAGTCAAAAAAAAGTTTACACCTAGTATTATACATCTTATGAAAGAGTGTTTTATCCCAATTCGTTCGGTATCATTTTTGTGTGGTATTTGTTACTTTAGTACTACTTTAGTTTAGCAGCATTATTAATTTACTATCCTGGCTGTGTATAATTTTATACAAATAGATCTAGGTCTAACGCACGGCCCAGCGTGCGTTAGTGGTAAATGCATGCACGCAAGGTTTCTTTAGATTGGTGCAGCATCCGTGCTCTTGCACTTTGCAGCGAGTTAACCACTAGATCTACTACTACTAGCAGAGATGCCAACTGTTCCGTTTTTGCCGTATTTGTCCCGTTTTTTCACTATGAATACGGCAGTACGTTTTTTGTATGTTTTGTTACGTTTTTTAAATTTAATTTTTTTTTTTTTTTTTTTTTTTTTTTTTTAAATTTTTTTTAGTGACGTTTTTCTTAATATGGGCCTTGTGTCGTAAGTGTATTATGCACATACGTCTTCAAACGATGCTCGCAGAATGGTGATACGGGCCCAAAACTGCGCACATTGCGAACAACCCACATGTAATGTATGCACGTCGCGCTCCGATCCGGGTATGTATACATGGTACTGCTGTTTTTTTTAAGCTGCTCGATTGGGCAATATGTTAAGGTGAGAGATTTTTTCAAAAATACTGCTTTTTGTCCCAAAATACTATTTTTTGCTCTTAAGAATACTTTTTTTTGTCGAAGAAGGTTGGCATCTCTGTACTAGGCAGTAGGGGCGCTGGTCCGAGAATAAGGATCGTCTTCATAAACGAAGATCGTCTTTATAAACGCGGACCAATGCGTCCTCAAAAACAAGGATCGTCTGCAAAAAAGCAGATGTTCCATATTTTTGATCAGCACATTCACATTGGCGATGCAAAAAACGTATTCCGGGATGATTTTCTTGATGCATTTTACATTGACTTTGTACAGAGATCTTCACATTATGAGCAATAAATCCTTGGGAAGACGGACAACCCATAAAAGTAGACTGTGAACTAGGGTTATTTTCCCACAGGAATCCATTTTTCACATCGCCAGCGGGCGGTTCGGTAACCGAAACCTGCAGAGCGCCGATGAAAAAAAACGTCAGCGAAAATGCAGACGATCCTTTTTTATAAGGACGCATTTTGTCTGCGTTTTATCCTTGTTTATGAAGACTATCCACATCACTTGGCTTTGCTGGGAGAAATAGACTACTGTACATGTCCACATAAAAATCATCTTGCCCCCAGTATTGATTGACTATTTTTCTCTTTTTTTCCCTGCCAAACAGAAACTGTTGGAAAGAGCTCGGGCAAGACGAGAGAATTTAGCTCGTAAGATGGCAGAATCAAACATGTCTCCTCGAAAGACGACCACAACACCAGCTAGAGTGCCCCTGAGGGAAAATCAGATACATAATCACGAACCCAGAGGTATGACTATTCTATTTCAAAACTCTTAAAGAGAAGGTTCGTTGAAATTTGGAAAATAAGCATGATATTATACCTCTACAGATTGCGGAGAACATTAATAAAGTGCGTAAAGTACTTTTTAAGCCCTCACTATTGTGAGGAATGGAGTAAATGCACCCACTTTCATATGTGTAAAAGATGAAAACATGTATAATTACATGGAACTAGACTGATGCTGGGACACTATAAATGTTTTATCTCAAAATCACATTATTTTCAATTTCAGTGATGTTAAGAAAAATTTACAATAGAGTGGTGAAGTGTGACGTCATCAAAATTCTATTTTTACAATTTCTCAATTTTTTCTTCATTTTCCGAAATAGCATAAAAAATAATGTCTAAATGTCGAAAACCAATTGAATATGTTAAGTATTGGCTAAGATATGACCATCTGAATGAATATATTTCCTATAGGAACTCGGTGTTATATGCTTTGGCTCCTAACCATTAGGAGCCAGAGCATATTATAACACTGAGTTCTTATATATAGGTTCAATTGGTTTTCGACATTTGGACATTATTTTTGATGCTATTTCGGAAAATGAAGAAAAAATTGAGAAATTGTAAAAATAGATTTTTATGACGTCATGTAGCTTCGGTAAATCTAACTAAATATAAGAAATTTTTGAAAATTTGTAATCACTATACGTATGGGCACTTCAAATTGGCTGAAGCAGTAATGTCAATGTGATGTAGTGCCGGACTACCTTCCCATCTGTTCCAACAGATAAAATGACTCTAAAGTTTAAAAAAAAATCTGAATTCATGGCTCGGGAGGGGGGGGGGGAGAGTAGTCTATTCGATGGAGGGGGGGGGGGGGGAGAGTAGTCTATTCGATTTGGAGGACCTATACTAATATGTGCCCCAAGGGAGAAGGAACTTTCAAGAAAATTAAAAATTTATTATATTTTTGTTCACGGCAAATGGGAGAGTAGAGTAATCCACGTCCTACGTCACAATCCTCTGACCAAACTACCAATTTGAGATTCGCATAGACTTAGTGATCTCATAGTTCACCAGTCTCCTTCTCTAATTTTTTTGGTTCCTTCTAGAGTACTAATAACTATGGAAATGCAATTCCCAAATAATCCTCTTTTCTCGACCATGTAGTATCACCAGTGAAGGGAAGACGTGCTGAAATGACACTCAAACCAGACACACCAGCAATTCCTTCTGTCAAGAACAGACTACAGCGCTTGGCTGAACAAAGACAAGTCTGGAATGCTTCAAGTACATGTAGGAAGGATTTCTATTTTTAGGCTTATTTGTGTTTACCGTTATTTAGATTGATTTAAAAAAAGAAGTTTTTGTTTTGTTTTATTGTTTTTATTATTTTTGTTTCAAGTTGTTTCATGGCTGTGTGAATTAGAGGGAAGGGGGATAGGTTTCATGTGGTATTTTGTTTGTTATTCGATCGGTCGGATATACCTTCTCTGATTTGCCCTCATCTGTTATAAGTTCTTACTTAAAGATATACAAGGTGGAGGTTGCATTTGTTATCATAGTTGATAATGATAAACCTCTGCATTCATCTGTTACAATATTACAATCTGCATAGTTTTTTGTTGTTTAGGGAGGGAATAGACCACTTTACAAATACATGTCTATGGATGCTTCTCCAAGAGCCAGGCAAATGAATTATTGCATTCAAATATTAAGATTTTTGATATTTCTATGATTGCATTTTGCATAAAAGCTGCTTTGTTTTATCATTTGTTTTTATCATCATCAGATCTATTTTTGTTTGTTATGTTGCACATTGTATTTCTGTGGAAATTATGGATTTAGTCATCAGGTTATAGCCATGCTTTCCTACCTATCATCTGGTCTTTTTTAGTGTTATATCTTATATGTCAGAGCTATCTCTGTTTTTTAATACTTTAAAAGAAAACCATGTTCCTATTTACTGGTATATGTTTTCCTAACATGTGCAGGTGGAACAGAAATAGACAGTCCACAGAATGTGATCCCTCCAAAACGGCCAGATTTTGAGGAAGAGGAGGGGGTCCCTGCAGCCCCTGCCCTCAAAGCACCCATCTCCAGTCGGTCCCGATTCGCTGCCCTTGCCGCCAACATCAACAACTGGGAGGACGACACAGATCACCCTAAACATGAGTTTCATAAGGTGTGTTGGGTGGGTAACAGTAATTCAACAGGAAATTTTAAAACTATTGCTCAACTTTAATAGAAACTACTGTCCATGTGTGTAGTTCTCGGTGTAATCATTACCTCAACGAAATGAAGAAGAAAAAAACACTGAGTGGAGGGAAATATAAATCTCGATGCACCAAAATAGCTCTTAAACAAGCTCTGGTTTAAAAATTCAGTAACGAAATCTTTAAAAGCAAAAGGTTCATCCTTTTGTTTTTAAAGATTTCGTTACTGAAAACTAGATCAATCTTTAACTACACGCAGTCAAAAAATGATGCCTTATGCCATAGAGTGTTTTTACAAACCAAAAGGGAATTCCAAATTTGATTGTAATCCATTAAACAGGTTCTCAGAATATCGTGATTACAAGCTATTTTTCATATACATGTCTCTGCAAGATAAATACATGTCCTGAGTTTGACAGTAATCCATCTCTCAGTTCTAATGATAATGACAAACTTATGCTGAATTGAAAAACACAAAATTCTTATTCTTATGATGCAATACAGTGAAAGAGATACATCCCCGATTCATGTGTAATTGTGTACCGTACTGAATTAAGGTAAATAATCAAATCTTCCACATCAACGTGAATGCAACTGTTATCCCATTTGCACTTTTTGCATTTCCTACAACAGGTCATTATCTCAAAATAGAGAGGAGCACATTCAGATATACTTCATGTTAGGTGTACTGGTAATATTGTGATTAAGATTTGTTGACCTATTTTGATTATTTTTTATTTATTTTTTGCCTAGGAAAAGCCAGCAGCTCGCAAGTGGCAACCCCCTAAGAGGCAAGAGTCAGCTGAAGATTCTACCCAATTCCCTGCCAAACGCTCTTCCCCCACCACCCTCTCCCAAACAAGCTCTGTCGAGACAACCGCCCCCTCTACTCAGCCCTCTCCTCCAAAACGCACTAAATATGAAGAGAAGGCGAGCATGCTGCAGAGAGAGCCAAGTGGCAAAGGTAAGGCCCAATTCAAAAGCATTCCATATGACTGGCACTCTACTTCAATCACCAAGTGTCCATCTAAGATAGTGCATGGTAGTAGTAAAGACACCATATCCAAATTATCATCCGCATCATTGAAAACCATAATAACTGTGCAGTCCAACAAGCACAGTCCTGTGAAGACCCCTAAAACTCCCCTCTCTGGCCGCCTATTTGTTGCAGTGGGCACCAAGAGACAGAATTCATCAGAGGATGAATTAAACACCCCCGCAGATCAACCCGTACCCGCTCCTCGAGCTGCCAAGAAGCTTGCACCTGCCGCCAGAAGCCCAGGCAAGACACACATCACAACTGCCTCACCGGTGAAGCGCCCCTCACCCCAGTCCTGCACACCAGCCACCCCTAAAATCAATTCACCCAGAAAGCAGGCGATCATTAGGGGATCCCCCAAGAAAGCTGTCACAACTGTCACACTGTCTCCCCTCAAACATAACTCCCCCATCAAGAAGTCCCCTGTCAAACAGCAGGCCATCAGGTCTTCACCTGTTAAACAAGCCATTAAGACAAAAAACACTCCCATTGCCAAGAGAGGTGGAAGTTCGCAGAAATTTGTTCAAGCGATGGCGCTGCTGGAGCAGGGCTGTGGTGGGGGCAGGGCGTCATCCAGGCAGAGTCCTGTCAAGACTACTCCGAAGGTGGGGGCCATGGCTCAACGCATCCAGGAACGACTCAAGGCAGACCAGAGCAACTGGCAGAGTAATGCTATCAACAAGAAAGTACAGGTAAGACAATCAGATGTATTTTGCAATCCACTAGTCTCTGTACCCTCTTACTACTCAGTGTTTGCATTATTGAACAATTCAAAGAACATGTACCTATCATAATTATATTCCATTAAACAAAAAATATTAGATGACTGTCATTCTTTGTACTAAAGCACTTTTTGTTTTCTTTCTCATATGTGATTTGTATTGGTGCATGTATTGGGTACTTTGTTTGAAATATACTAATACACCAATATAACAGACTTCTTTTTAAAATTTTATTTATATATTTATTTTCTTATAAATATATAACTTGGTGTTGATATTCTCTATCTGAAAAATTAACGATATTCTCTTAATCTTATATTGTCATAGAAAATGCAGAGAGTTGAAAACAAAAACAAAAACAAGATCTTTTTTGCAATTTTTCTCAATGCACTGAGGTGTTATGTAGTCTTTAGGACCAGCACTGTTTAGGACAGCGGTCACAAGTTATCAAACGTAGCTCAAGATTCAAACAAATATACTCGATTATCGATTATTGACATTTACATACTTGTCAGCTTGTGCTAGATTGTTGATCAGCAGATTTGTCAATTGTCACTGATTTTTGGCGTTTGTCATTGAAAAAGGATTTGTGAAACCGGTCCCAGGTAACACTTGATATGGATCAGATGGACATAGGGTTGATTGGTCCTTTGATGATGTTTCTTATCTGAAAATCAGTTTGAGAATCTAACTGAGAAGGATTCATGCTTTCTTTCCATTTTCATCAATATATCAAATTACCCATACTCATCTCCATTTGAAAATTATCAATTTTCATATTAGTATGTTGTATTGCGAAAGTCTCGCTCCTACCTTTCGCATACGCTGTCATAATTTTGTTCATCCTTCTTCCTTTGATAATTTATTTGTCGCTGTCCCCACAGAAATCTCCATGCTGCGTTTTGTCATTATGTCAGCTGTAAGAAAGAGGAAATTGATGAAAGATACATACTTTGCTACTGGCCGGTGTTCATGAGTTGGCATTTTGCAATTTGTGTTTTATTTGTAAATATTATTTGATATTTCTCCATTTTTGTTTCCATGACTAACGTTTATTATCAGGAGGAAAGACAGAAAGAGATGGCTCTCATCAAAACACGCTGGGAAGCTCCTGGAACAGGAACCCATGGAACGAAGGAAGAGGTTTGTCTTGTTTTGTGTCTCTGTCTCTCCTTCCCTACCCTTTTCTCTCTCTCTCTCTCTCTCCCTCTTCCTTTCTCTCTCTTCCTCTCCCTTTCTCTCTCTTCCTCTCCCTTTCTCTCTCTCCCTCTCCCTTTATCTCTCTCCTCTCTATCCAGGGTTGGTCGGTAAATACCAGGGTGGAAAATACAGTATTTTTTAGTGCTGTGGTCAAATGTTTTACCGTCGGGTAAACGACCGTCCATGACACTATCCATTTCAATGAGACAGAGACTTTACTGTCGGGAGTGTCGGGCATGCATTGGAATAATGACTGGGTTTCGCTTTCTTTATGAAGCTAAGAAATCAAGTTTTATCTCTGAATACCGATTATTTCGTAAAGGTGAGATAAAATATTTTATAGATAAAATTGTGTTCAGACTTCAGAATACTACCCCTATAATTTGGTCAATTTGGCCCAAACTGACCAATATGGTCACTTTTGGTCAGGGCTAATTTTCCCAATTGTTATTATCAGCAAAGGAGATTAATTAGGCCTATTCTACGTATGTGCCCTAATGCTAAAAAAAAAAGTGGTGAAATTGACCCCAATCAACAAGAATGTGGTCATTTGGGTCACTTTTTGGCCAAAGAATAACCAGTTGTATTTATTTTGTCAAAGATGTTTAAACACAAGACATTTCAAGAAAGCCTGTGAAGTTATTGAAAATAAACAACTAAGAAACGTTTGAAGTAGAATTAAAAGATGAAATTCAGATGAAAGATCAAGCAATAATTTTCCCATGTGTTTTAGTATTATCCAGTATTTACCAGTGTTGCCCAAGATATTGCTCACCCTGTCTATATCCCTCTCTCTCCTATCGGCACTCTCTCCCTCACTCCATAATTCTTCAGTTATTTTTCTCATAGCTATGATTACAAACAAACATCATTTGTGTATTTTCTCACTCATCACTTCCCTCTGCCTCCACACCACTCCCTCTTTGTCTTTCTCTGCCTGCCTGTCCATCTATTTCTCACTTTCTATCTACTCTTGTCTCTTCTCCGTGTCATTATTTTTTCCTCTTACTCTGCTTTCTGCTTTCTGTCTCCTTCCCTGTTCCTGTCTGTCTGGTACATCATAAAGAAATCGATACACAATCACAGAGATGCCAACCTTCTTTAACAAAAAAAAGTATTCTTAAGAGCAAAAAACAGTATTTTTGAAAAAATCTCTCAACTTAACATATCGCCCAATCGAGCAGCTTAAAAAAATCCGGCAGTACCACGTTTACGTACCCGGATCGGAGCGCGACGTGCATACATTACATGTGGGTTGTTCGCAATGTGCGCAGTTTGGGGCCCGTATCACAATCCTGCGTGCATTGATTGAAGATGTAGGTGCGTAATACACTTACGACACAAAGCCCATGATCAGAAATTAAGAAAAACGTCACTAAAAAAAAAAAAAAAAATTAAGAAAAAAAAAAAAAACGTAACAAAACATACAAAAAACATACTGCCAATCAATGAGAAGTGTATGATTTTGTATGAATAACTAATTAACATGTGTACATTTCTTCTTTGCAGCCCAAATCAACATCTGTTCCAGAAGAGGAACATGTTGACACTGAGGAGATGTCTCAAGAACAAGAAATAGAGACAGAGGAAGAGATGGATGCAGAGTCCAATGATGATGCAGATGGTTGGTTGGATTAAATTTCTTTAGGACCTGACACTAACAGGACAGGCACCCAAAATCTAAGTCTGGAACCATGATTGTATCAGTTTGAAATAAATGTCATGATTACTGAGTCAAAAAACAACATCCCAGGCTCATTCTCGACAATTGAACACATTGTGTAGGTTTGCTGTGTTTACAAAAAAACTAGAATGTCTGGTGACCTCAGATATCGCAATGACTAACCTGAGTGCACTGGAACTACCGTAACACACGAGCAAAACAGTGCATCATTTGTTTTATAAGAAAGATTGGCAGTACATTCCTACAATATAAGTCTAGATCTACAGTAAAGATAGATATTAGATCTAGATACATTAGGCTACTCTACAAAAGTAAAAGATCGGTAGATATCGAGCATGCGTTATCAATTTTTGATGGGAGATGTTTTGCATGGTGGGAAAAATAAATGCACGCCCACGTGATGTCAATTGACCAATCGGATTGCTTAGATTCTAGAACTGTCTTATAATGGGTTTTAAGTTAGGTATAGGTATAGTGTTTGGTACAGATTTGAAGTTTCATATTTTGTTAGTTTAGGATATTGACCACAGAGCATATGCTATGTTATATGGATCAGGTCAGTGGTATCCTTTGATAAATCCCTGCTTTCTTGTGAACATGAATGACCATGATCATCATTATGTCATCATTACATTAATTTCTTCCCACACTGTACAGTGAGTGAGTCCAACGTGGAGGAGGACTACTCAACAGAAGAGGATGAGATCGTCCCCATTCAAACCCAAGGAGAGATGGAACAAACTGGTATCATTCCCATTACGTTGGAGAGATCAGCATTCCCTACCAATGATCGTCTTGATGTCATAGATGAAAAGGTAAGGGGTTGGTTATATTACATGCCATTTGTCAGAAATCTTATTTAGAGTTCATGTAGAATTTGCAGGAATTAAAGAAAAAATCTCAAAGTTGGATGGAGAATCCCTTTTCCGGACAGACCAATACCTGTCCAAAAAGGGAGTCCCCCATGCAACTTTGAGATATTTGGTACCCTTCCCATTAATTCTTGCAAAATTCTAAATGAACTCTAAAAAAAACGTCTGTCATATATTGTTTCTGAGTAAAAGATTCGTGCCAGCAGAGAAATCTGAATCAGAATCTGGCGGAAACCTACCCATAAAATAGCCTGCAGGTACCAGCAGTCCTATTATATGTATTGCTTTGCTATTTGCATTAGTGTATTCAAAATGTTGCTTTTTTGCTGAGATGAAATGATCTCGGATCTATTAAGGTACCCTGTTAGAGGCTGAAACTGCAGGGATCCCTGGTTGATCTTAGCTCGGTTGACAGCACTACATTGGCCACGTCCATGATTTTATCTTATTTCAAATATGACCATCTTTGCCTTCTAGAATACTGAGAATGCAGACGAGAGTGAAGTGAACATCAGCGATGTCCTTGGTGACATTGATGAGCTGATCGTAGAGGCTGAGCAAGCTATGATGGAAGAAGAGAAGGCAAAGGCTGAGAGTCTGAAGAGATATGCTGAGCCTCCTACACAATCTACAACTCCCAAGGGAGATTTATCTGGATGGGACTATAACATTGACAAGGTATATCAGCAGTTGTTCTAGGGAAAGTCTTGTCATATAGACCAGTTCACAGTTAGCACATTTCCCAAATGACCCTGACAGATCTTCAAAACATGAAGATGTCCCACTTTGTACATTTGGAAATAATCACTACAGCGATGGAGGTGCTACATAAATAGCCTTTGTTTCCCCTTTTCAAAGAATACTTCCACCTGTGTATCATGGAGTGCACTGCTTGTGCATAACTGAATAATGATAACAACTTTCATGAGCACGTATTCAGTATTCAGTATATTGTGTATTTCACAATGTGGTCTGCAATGACCTTTATCTGCTCATGCTCAGACTGCAACTGTGAACTGGCTTATTGAGAAGATACTTTCATGTAACATGATTAATTGATAATTTGCTTTGAACTTTCCTTCATATCAAGCCATAGTAACTTTGCATGTATGGGGTTGAATTTGATTTTTCAACTTCGCTATGATTTATAGGAGGTGATATCATATAGATTGTACTGTGAGTACAGCCTTGATATGTATATTTTGATATGGAATCCTGAAGTTTTCTTTTTTTGTTGTTCTTTCTTCCTATCCTCCATTGTATTTTTTGTCTTTCATCTTTTTCAGAGTTTAAAAAAAATGCAGATCTATTCATTTTCTGTGCTATAGGTTGCCTAATGCAGTGCTTTTTCAATTGCAGCGCCTCAAACATCTCTATGGTTGCCACAAGATATTATGTTTTATACAACACCTACGTGGATCCTTGTCATATGATTGGAGGATTGTTGGTCACATGATATTCAATAGATGTTCTATTGCACGGGCATGCATTTTTGGTTATATGCAGACTGCGTACCTCTCTGCCGTGCGCGTATCCCTGCGTGTATCTGACGCGAAGGCAATCTGAATGTAATCAAGAAGGCTTGACTCCAACTTTAATTTATTTTTAATATAAGGAGTAAAGCATAATTTGTTGATTAACGTTCTATTAGATCTTCTTTGATTGTGTATAAAACAAATAATGAACGTTTTTGAAAGATTAACATTCTTGAACTCATAACCATTTACTATATGTATAATATTGCAAATTATTTTAGAATAACGAAGCATCTTTCTTCCTCGGCTGCTCACAACATTTAGAAACAGGATGATTTCATGTAGCAAAATGCCTGAATACCTCAATATTTTGGCAACTTGTTGGCCACTCATGACCATTCACTTTAGAAATCCAGCCATCTGATTGGTCGAAATTGGAGTCGTGATTTTAGCCATTCCCGTAAAGAAACGTAAAATGCCAAAACCGGTTAATAGTCCAAGAGCTCAAAATTCTGGTTACTGTGAAAATAGTAAATGTTATTGTGATACCTATTGGTTTACGTGTTAAAATGTTCTTTGTGGAATTCGCAGCACAGCTACCATACAGTTTTTGTGCAATTAATTTGGTTGCTACATTTGCACACAGTGCAGACAACCGCCAATCTCGATTGTAGGCCTAGATCTACATGTAATGACGAGATTAGGCCTTTTGGAAATATGGATATAAATCTGCTCTTTCATATCAACTTGAGGATCACAAGCACTAAAGGTTTGAATCTCCATTTGTAAATATTTTTTAAAACCAATTTTGCATGATCACGTAATGCACGTAGACTGCATAGGGATGTACAGGTATGCGTGCAATCTCAATAGGAAGGATTTTAGGACACACAATCGAATGCGCCTAGAGACCTGCAAGTTATCAACACAGACCTCGATAGCGTAAACAAACTTGATTACCATGATTGCATATTCTATGACCTATTTTTCGGTATATAAAAGAGATAATGACTGCTTTAATATTTGGGGAATAGTTGTTTTATAGTCTCTCGGGGATGTTGCATCCTGATATCACCCCTCGGCACGCCTCAAGTGATTATCAAGATGCAAAATCCCCTTGAGACTATAAAACAACTATTACCCTCATTGCAGTCATTATCTATATAATATTGAAGCCCTAACAAAATTGCGCTTCAAAATGATCATGATCAAAAAAGTAAAAAAAAAGTTAAGTGACCAGTTTTACCATACTCATTTTCCCCAATAGACTGTAATCTTATAAAAACGTTATGAAAATATAAATATCTTGATAATCAGACAGGCGATCGGCTTGCAAAATTCATTGGATTCCTGACTGACCTAAAGGTTTATAATTATGATTGCAGCATGAGCTAAATCCAGGATTTTGTTTAGAATCTAAGGCAAAGTTACCCGATCCCTGTAAGTCACCAGAAATTGCTTCTGATTGGTCAGCCTCAGGAATAGAGCTCCAAGATCAAACCTATGACCCATCTCGCGTACGTTGAATGCGTATGTTACAATTATCTCTCTCAATATTCTATGGCTCGTTTGCTTCACTTGGAACATTTAGAAACTAGATAATCCAGGACAACAAGATGCCCGAATAACCTCATATTTGAGTATTGAGGTATAATTATGATTTTTGTATTCATTTATATTTTTTGCAGCGGGCGAGCCCACATACAGGATTTTATATTTTTCTAGGGGGTTCACAGGCATGGCACTTGACAACTGATAGAGTGATGTAAAATGAATTGTGATCAAATCGACACAAAACATTTTATTTCTTCAAAATATGCTGCAACTAAAAAAAGCTTGAGAAACGATGTCATGAGTTATTGATAAAAATTGCCTTTGGTATGATGTGCAATCTTTATTTTGTTTAATTTTCTTACAGATGGAGCCAATTTACGCAAACATATCTGAAATCACCAACTCAACCTCCTCCTCTTCATCCCAGGATGAGGGGAACCCAAGACCTGCTCCAAGAACCCGACGGAGGAGGAGCTCCAGCGTGGGCTCCATCGACTCCTGCATCTCAGCTGCCTCCTCCTTGGCCCCCATCAGCTTGGAGAGCTACCGGTCCCAGCAGCAGCAAAAGACCCTTAGCCCTACAACCGTCACCCACCGTACCGTTACCAGGGAGACTGCATCCAGGAGTGTCGTCCGAGAACCATCCTCCACTTCCAGACCAAGATCCTCTTCTACATCATCAGCAGTGTCCTCTGCATCGTCGTCAAAGGGCAGTAATGGAGGTTATCACCAGCGACAGGGTGGTCCTCCTAAAGATCAGAAGAGATTGGTTGCCAAGAAGATGAGCACCAAAGAGAGAATCCAGGTGAGATACATACATACCCAATCAAAGGCACCATCTCTAACCAATAATAAGACATTTTCTTCTTCTTCTTAAAAACCTATGGCTGGAATCTTACCAAAATGTGTAGGAATCTCTTGCAGGAAAGTTGTTCAAATGGGCTACGTACCCCTAAGGGAGGGGAGGAGGGCTGAGAGCTGTGCCCTTCCAAAGTTCCTCAGTGGCAGTAATTACACATCTTCTTCTATTTGAAAACCTTTGGCTGGATCGTAACCAAAAAATTTAAGAATATTAATGTCAAGTCTGCCAAGTAAAATTTTGTACGATAGCAAGTACATGTAGCACCTTACCATATGAGGTTATATTGGTCAGTTATAATTTAAAGGTAATACAAAGATTTGGTATGGAGTCATGAATTTAGTTCAAATGAACATATTGGAAGCATATGCGATTTTACAATATTCGATGATCCTTGTTGCGGTTGAAATCGAGTCTAAAGTGATGAAATTATAATAATTAACTTCATGTTGGGAGCTCAGGTCCATTATTGCGAGGCCCTTACTACCATAGGCTCAGGTGAGCGTCAGGTCCGCGAACCTCTTGTTTCTAGTTCCTGTAAACTGTCCCCTTTTATCTTCATTGTTGGCTTATATTGTGATATTTACCTACAAGAAGTTATAAAAACAACCCCAGTCAATGAAACCTCTTTGCACTATGTCTATTGTAGATGATGATGGAGGAGGTTTCTGCCCAACAGAGTATCATCCATCAGACCAGTCAAGCTTTAGAACTAATCGCTGCTACAGAGGAGTATCACGGTACCAAGGAGGAAATAGAAGCTGAGAGGCTTCTTGTAGTTGCCTGTAAGTCCTTTCTTACATACAGGGATGCCAGTTTGTTGTTGTTGTTGTTTTTGTTGTTGTTGTTTTTTTTTGGGGGGGGGGGCATTGCCTGATTTCAGGCCTGGACACCTTTAGGCTTTTGCAGGTTTCATTTTAGTATTTTAAAGCAGGAATGAGCCATTTGACATCCCAGTGACTATTTTCAGGCTCTTTAGATAAATCCAGCTGGAATCCTTATCCCTTATCCCCCCCCCCTCAAAAAAAGAATAATGATAATGATAATGTATCCATTTATACCAAAGTTTGTGGTTGAATGAATGAATGAACTACAATTATTTTGCAATTTTTTAAGATTAAGAAATGCTGTGTTCTCAGGAATTCTGTTAACAACATATTAATGTCAAGTCTGCCAAGTAAAATTTTGTACGCTAGCAAGTGCATGTAGCACCTAACCATATGAGGTTATATTGGTCAGTTATAATTTAAAGGTAATACAAAGATTTGGTATGGAGTCATGAGTTTAGTTCAAATGAACATATTGGAAGCATATGCGATTTTACAATATTCGATGATCCTTGTCGCGGTTAAAATCGTGTCTGAAGTGATGAAATTATAATAATTAACTTCATGCTGTATAGCTCCCTCTCAAGGCTGATATTACTTTAGCTTTAAAACACTGTTTCTTGACTATAATCAACGTTTGAAATTGATATATCAGAACTGCATATTCTGAGATTTTCATGGGCGCAGCTACCATGGAATGGAATAGCAAATTGAAATATTTGAAATTTACCGGGAGCACCAGTAAATTTTGATTATTCAATCTGCTCGAAAGCAGAAGTGTTTTAGGAGCTAAATTTTCTTGTGTTTATAAGACATCCACAGGGTCATCCAAATATATAAACATTTTAAAGGATTACTATCCATCCAATTTTCAAAAATTACCTAAGTGACTCTGTAACATTGCCTCAGATTCTGAAATAAAATCCTGGAATTAGCTCATGCTGCAATGATAATTATAAATCTTTAGGTCAGTCAGATATCCCATGACTTTTACAAGCCGATCGCCTGTCTGATTATCAAGATATTTATGATAAATCAAAATTTCATTTTGTTGTTTTCCTAACGTTTTTTATAACATTACAGTCTATTGGGGAAAATGAGTATGGTAAAACCGGTCACTTAAAGATTTTTACTTTTACTGTATGACTCAGGAGGGTCTATCATAATTTTCTATCCATTGTATATTTTGAGTAGTGCCCCAAGGGAGAAACCACTTGGGAGACCAACAGAAATTGTGTACACTACAAATGGGAGAGTTCTCCGCGACTATGTCACAATCCACTGTCAAAATTGCCAATTTGAGATTCAGCTGTAGTGATCTCATATTTCAAACATTCGCTTTCTTACCATTTGGCCGATTTATTTCAAACTTTCGCCATTTTGTTTCTCAGCTTTTCTGCTTTCATTCAATTGAACTCATTATAAGGCTTGGATTGCCCTTTAATCTGTGCCGTGTCGGATTATATAAAACATGAAATATGTAACCCAGTTACCAGTCCTTTGGAATTTTCTATGTATGACAACATTAATTTTGCGTTTGATGCATGTTACAGCTCAGCGTCGTCAGGCCTGCCTATCGGAGATCCAGTACTTGAAGAACCCAGTTACTACACCCAAGGTGATTGTGACTGAAGATGGAGAAGAGATTGTACCATGTAGGGGCTCTGTGACCATCAAGGATATAAGACTACCCCTCAAGACTCAGTACCTTATGGCTCTTGACTCAGGCAAAGGTATGGCTTACATTCAAATCATACATTATGAACTAGGCATTCAAGAGATTGTTTTCATATGCCAGATATAGGATGTAAAGATGCTGATCAACCCTGAATTTCCATGAACACAGGGATCTGCAGTGGCCACAAGAAAGCTGTACATTTTGCTGTGGGGTGGACATGACTTCCCCCAGTGGAAATCCAATTTACAAGATTTTTCAAAATGGCAATTGGAATTGAATATTAAAGCATTTTACACTGTCTGTACTGTATGAAGTACTTGTTACTGCAAAATTGGCCTGAGTATTGTAAAGTACTTTGTAGAGGCTCCTATATATAATTGTTATGAAAGAATACATTTGTGAGCAGGTTTTTCTGTAGACTTTCAGCAATGATCTTTATCTAAGTATCATTTGTTTTTTATTTATCACGTAGATCAAATTCACCACAGCTTCTTTGTGATAGTGAAATGTCAGGAGCATGTCATAGCTACTCAGATCCTCTCTACCAGGGAGATTAGTGGAGACTGTATTCATTTCACCAACCTAGTCTGCTTGTAAGTATCTTCATCATTTAGTAGACCCTCTTAAGAAAGTTATTAGTGTTGTCATGAGGGCACTGTGGAGAAGGGCTGAACAAGTATTAAAATCTTATTGCTTAAACATCTTGAGTACACTTTGTTAAATAATAATAATTATACTACGTAATACCAATTTCGGGATTACGTTAAATGAGACCCCGTTAGTGCGCATGCGCTAATCAGCAATTCGTTAGTCGCGTGTTATTTGAGCGAAAGGACCCCTTTCTGGCTCAAGAAATCAGATTTATTATCCACGCAATCCCCGAAATCCAAAGGTAAAAAACGTTTTTAGTTTCACCTTTGACATTTACTGATAACTTTGAGACGCTTATTTTTATAAATCACGCCTTTCTGAAGTGATATTTTATCGATAGAATTGTAATGTCTCAAATGGATAGCAGCACTGCTGCGTTTACTCCGTCCGCGCTTTCACCCCAGGCACCGCCTGGTAGCGCAGGAGCCACGGGCTCCGACGGAAAGAAAAAATTACCCAACTCCAGTGGCAAAGTCACGGCTGGCAAAGTCAGCAAGAGTGGGCCGGGGAAAGCTAAAAGTAAAACAAAGTCGGACTCGGAGCCAAAGGCAATGAGCGAGAAAAATCAGGAAGTGGAATCAACGGTTCCATTTTCTACTTTTAATAACAGACTTGATAAAATGGAAGCGCTTCTTGCGCGAGTGGTTGAGGCGTTGCCCGCTACTAATGCTACGGCTGTCACCGGCAGCTCACACCCGTCTTCGTCTCGCGGCCCCACCGGGGCTACCGGCGGGGAAGACTATGTGCAACGGCCTCCGTTCGACCACGGGAATGACATACCGCCCACCGGGCTCATGGATTTTTACGGTCTACCCGCGGATGCAACCGAAGCGGGCGCCGTCTCGGAGGAAGAGAATTTTGACTCGGACATGCCTCAACCTGATAACTTTGTCATTCCCTCGATCGCCGCAAAATTCGCAATGGCGTCGGATATCGGAGATCCTATTGAGGAGGAGATAGCCCAATCTACTTCATATCTCATGACACACCAATTGGAGGGGAAAGTTCTTGATGAAGTTACTGCAAAATACCCAGCTCCAAGCAATTGTCAGATTATAGAGGCACCAAAGGTGAACCCTGTGATATGGGACAATCTACCTCCGATGACAAAAAGCCGTGACTTGAAGTTACAGCGAGTTCAGAAATCACTCACTCATGGCATCAATGCATTTGCCCGCTCCGTTTCTACGGGCGGTATAACTGATACTCAGCAAGATGCTTTGGCGTTGATTTGTAACGCTAACTTTGAACTGAACTGCCTGCGAAAAGAGCTCATAAAACCTGACTTGAATGCAAGGTTTACGCATCTGTGCAAACCTACTCTGCCAGCTACTAGACTTTTGTTTGGTGATGATCTTGGAAAGCAGGTGAAGGATCTCAAAGATCAGCAACTGGCAGCGGCCGGTGTAATGAGGGACAAATTCAAAAACCGCTTTACTTCGCATCCCTATCGGGGACGTGGCTACAATGCACCGGGGCACCGCTGGGGCTCACAGAGCCAATCCCGCGGGTATAGCAGGCCAATGTCAGGATCGCAGGGTGGCCCTTTTTTAGGGTACAGACAGAACAGGAGGGGCAGACAGCCTCCGTACACTCAGTCTCAGGCTCCGAACCAGCCTCAAATGCAAGCGCCAGGTGCCCAGAGGGGTCCCATGGGCCAGCAGAGGAGGAAGTAGAACTCCCAAGACCAAGTCACGACAAGGTTAGTGATTCACACTTTGATCTCATTTTTAGCGAAAATGATATGACTAATGCTAGTACTAGTACTAGTAGTGTTCCCCCAGTGGGCGGTCGACTGAGGTATTTTAGGAAAAATTGGCAAGAGCTAACAACAGACCCTATTGTTATTAGGGCTGTCACGGGATACAAGATCGAGTTTGATGTAGAAAAAATTAAAGACTTGCCTGAATTAAAGGCTAAACGCTATAAACGGAGTGTCCAGGATGCTAAGCGCATTCAAGAAGAAATTTCTAGCCTCCATCGTAAAAATGTTATTGAGCCCTGTGTACACGAAGAGGGTGAATTCATTTCTAATATTTTTACTACGCCTAAAAGAACTGGAGGTGTACGTCTAATCCTCGATCTTTCAGAATTGAATAAATGCATGATGTATAAGCATTTTAAGATGGATAATATCCACACTGTGCTGGATCTTGTATCCCCTGACAATTTTCTAGCCTCTGTCGACCTCAGAGATGCATATTATACAGTACCGATCCACCAAGAGGATAGGAAATACCTCAAATTCATTGTCAATGGTCAATGTTGGCAATTCAAAGCACTGCCCAATGGTCTCAGTACAGCACCAAGGCTATTCACAAAATTACTAAAGCCAGTTTTTTCTAAGGTCAGACAAGCTGGTCACATTGTGGTAGGATATTTGGATGACACAATCCTCATTGCAGAAAATGAGGAAAAGCTCAAAGCAGCTGTTAAGGCTACCACTGACATCCTTGCACAACTCGGGTTCATTATTCACCCTGAAAAATCGGTACTTACCCCCACCAAAGAGATAACGTTCCTTGGCTTTGTTCTGAATACAAATACTATGCAAATTAGGCTTCCAGAAAGCAAGGCGCTTGAAGTCGAACGCCTCTGTCAAGAGCTTATTGACACTAAGGAGCCCTCAATAAGGCATGTTGCCAGGGTTATTGGGAAGATCGTTTCAACTTTCCCAGCAGTCCAATATGGCCCTCTCTCCTATCGTACTTTAGAGAGAGACAAAATTGCAGCACTAAAAGCAAACAGAGGTCATTTCGATAGAAAAATGACACTTTCAAATGAAGCCAAGGGTGAGCTTCAATGGTGGGTCGAGCATGTAACGTCTTCATTTGCACCAATAAGAAGACCGAAACCAGACCTTGAGTTGCGCACGGACGCCAGTGGGGCTGGCTGGGGTGCTACTAACCTCCAATCATGCACAGGTGGTAGATGGAATGAAAAAGAATTGCACAAAGCTAGGCATTATGGCATTAACTACCTTGAAACAGTTGCTGCGGGGTTTGGCGTTCAATCCTTCTGTGCTGATATGGAAAATGTGCATGTACTACTCCGTGTTGATAATGTAACCGCAGTATCATACATTAACAATATGGGGGGCTGCAAGTCTGCAGATTGCAATGAGGCAGCCAAACACATTTGGGAATGGTGCATGAGTAGGAACATATGGCTATCAGCTGCCCATTTACCAGGGAAACTAAACACAGAGGCAGACCACATGTCTAGACACTTTAACCACAAGACAGAGTGGATGCTAAATACAGATGCATTCAAAGAAATTGCTCAGCAATTTGGTTCCCCAGAAATAGACCTATTTGCATCAAGATTAAACAAGCAAGTTGACAGATACATCTCATGGCTGCCTGACCCTGGAGCTGAAACAGTTGATGCTTTCACAATCGACTGGAAACCATTAAGTTTCTACGCTTTCCCACCCTTCTGCCTCATCGCGAAATGCTTACAAAAGATTAAATGCGATGATGCAACAGGCCTACTAGTAATTCCAAACTGGCCTACCCAACCATGGTTCCCTCTTTTGAAGAGTATGATTATTGGGGAGCCAATGTTCATAGCTAGAAGGCCAAACTTACTAGCACAGCCTATTACAAATGAGCCACACCCGCTTAATAATCAGCTTGATTTGCTTTGTTGCAGGTGCTGCGCCAGCCACTAGAAAGTAAAGGTTTGAGTGCAAGAGCTATCAATGTAATAGCAGCATCGTGGCGAGCATCCACGACAAAGAACTATGCCGTTTACATAAGGAAATGGAAGACATACTGCCATAAAAAAGGCTTGAACTATCTCCAGGCGAGATCCAATGATGTAATTGATTTTTTGTCAGAACTCTTTGAAAGTGAAAGAGCTAGTTATAGTGTTATAAATTCTGCACGCAGTGCCTTGTCTGCATTCCTAGTACTTGAGGATTCGTCATGTACAGTTGGAACTCATCCTCTTATTAGTCGTTTTTGTAAAGGAGCTTTTCAATTGCGCCCTCCAGCGCCAAGATATAAGGAGATTTGGGATGTGAACATAGTGTTTAATTATCTACGGAAGTGGGCACCAGCGAATTCGCTCACGCTAAAAACTCTGACTATGAAACTTTGCACACTTATGGCGCTGATATCGGCCCAGCGGGTCCAGTCACTGCACAGCTTGCATCTTGACTACATGAAAATCAAGGGCAGCGAAGTTCTGTTCATTTTTAAGGACCTCCTAAAGCAAACAAAACCAGGGAATGTGAACTTCAACTTGAAAATGAAGGCATATCCACCAGACAGGAGGTTATGTGTACTTAACTACTTGCGGCACTACTTGCGCAGAACGGAGAGCGTCAGGGGACAGGAACGCTATCTGTTCATCAGCTTCAAGAAACCGCACAAACGCGTTACTACGCAGACCATCGCCAGATGGGTGAAGGAAACGTTGACCTCAGCAGGGATCGACACAGACATCTACAAAGCTCATTCTACTAGAGCTGCATCAACTTCAGCAGCAAACAGTTCAAATCTGCCTATCAAGCATATACTAGCCCAGGCGGGCTGGTCTTCTGAACGGACGTTTCGAAACTATTACATGAAACCAGTAGAGAACAGGAACGTCAATTTCACAGGTGCAATCATGGCGCCCTAAAGGATGTCCTAGAATTGGCATCGCCTTTTTAAGGTCAGCTGGTTTACCTTCTTAGTAGCATGCTTTAGCTTGCTATTCTATCAATAATGTATACTTTTGTGTTGAGCACTGGATCGGATGGCCTACTGAGCTTTGAAATCTCATTTAACGTAATCCCGAAATTGGTATTACGTAGTATAATTGAAAGATTAAACGAGAACTCGTTTGAGATTTAATCTCAATTATATAAGTAATATAAAATGAGGGTTTACGTCCCTCCCTTACCCTCCCTAGTGCTGGGTATTGTTATTAATTACAGTTCTCGTTATCTTTCTGCTTGGTTCAGTAGGCACATCCTCGGCTATCTACGAATATTGCTGATTAGCGCATGCGCACTAACGGGGTCTCATTTAACGTAAACCCTCATTTTATATTACTTATATAATTGAGATTAAATCTCAAACGAGTTCTCGTTTAATCTTTCAAATTACTGAGTAACTTTTGTAAAGTTCATCAGAGCCATCTATCTAAAACTGCAGTTCCTGGTATCTGCATAGAAATCATTTGCAATGCAAGTTTATTAATCTGTTATATATTTTTTAATATATTGCAATATCAATTGGTTGTAACATTTTATTCATTCAAGTTCATCATTTGATCATTCTGCAGTCTGAAACAGGCTATTAGCCAAGATTAGAAATTTTGGATATTTTATTTAAATGCAAAATGTCCACATAAAAGAGGCTGTCTATTAGATTATTTGGCTAAATGACTGAGATGAAGTGTATAGAGTTATATATTCAATGTGCTGTTATTGACACCTTTTCTGTTTGAAAGAGAAACGGAAAACACTGTTTTTAAAACGAATGCTCATTTCTAATATAGGAATGATCTAGGTAGTGACTTCACCGTTGAGCTTTTGGTGTATGAGATGAGAGGAAGGTGCGCTACCTTAGATGCAGTCCAGAGCAAGAAAGCTGCTACCGCCAAACATGGATGGAGCCTCACACCAAAGAGATTCAAGGGAGCATCCAATTTCAGGGTATGTCTATGAGCAAAACAGCCATTTTAAAACCTTTGAATTTGCCACTCTATAAACAGCACTAACATTTGAAAGCCTAGCTGAACGTGGGGTAGTATTTAACTATATGTTGTGGTCATGGGTATTGAGGAGTATTGTGTTGTGGTATGTGTATAAGAAGAAAAAGAAAAAAGGGAGTTGTTATGAAGACAAATGTATACTGCACTAGTATGCAATAAAACGCCCTACTGTGTGTGTGTGGGGGGGGGGGGGGGGGGGTGGGGGGGGGGGGGGGAGAGAGAAGAAAAAAAAGAGTTAGGTCAAAAGACTAAACTTTTTGGCATAAAAAGTTTCTGTCTTCCAGTAAAGGATTGTTCTGTAAAGCCAATTCATCAAACAACTTCTATTTATAACCTAGGTCACTGCTTATCAGGTCAAATTGGATATGGTAAATACAAAATGAGGTGGGGGGGGGGGGGGGGGGGGTGATATTCAGAGATATTCAAGTAAATGATTTCCAGTACAAGAGGTTTACCACTTGACATATTCTTGTTTTGCTTTTGCCTTGACCGACCTTACAGCAAGGAGGAGGGCGTTACCCACAGTCACCAGGTCCATCATCATCAGGCCACAGCACAGTAAGACAGAACAGCTTTGCTATGGTGGGATCAGCAAGACTTAGTCTAGCCAGCTGTCAACTCAAGAAATGCACCCTCACAAAGGTTAGTCAAAGGCAGGCTTTGGATAAAAATGTATTTATTTAATAAAAACATGAAAACATGTTTGTTTAAATTGTTTTAAAGGTATTTTATTGTTTAAAATGTTGAAGTATTTTGTGGGCTAAAATTTTATTTAAAATATGAAACATAGTTTTTTCACATAAAAAAACTGTGTTGTACTTGGTGGTATTGCTACACAGTGACTGAAATGCATCAAAGAATTATAATTACGCCATTCTACGAAGATAATTCTGCTTTTTGATGCTAACTGTGTCTTTTAACTATATTGTTTTGCATAATTGCGTTTAAACAAAGACATTGCCTCCCCCCACCCCCCGACGCCTCCCGGGACCTCTTACGTTTCATTAAATCATGAGAGAAAGAAGGCGATTTGTTGTACCGTTCTCGAAAATAATCCTCATCTAAATTCAGTCCCCCCCCCCCCCCACGCGAAAACTTTTGCGTTTCATTAAATCTTTAGAGAAAGAAGGCGATTCGTTGAACTGTTCTTGAATATATTAAGCGCGGAATCTTTTACGTTTCATTAAATCATTAGAGAAAGAAGGTGTTTGTTGGACAGTTGTCGACTCTTAATCCTCGTCTGAATTCAGTCCCCACCCCCCCCCCCCCCCCTCCCGCGCGAAGCTCTTAAGTTTTTACGTTTCATTAAATCCTTAGAGAAAGAAGACGATTTGTATTACCTTTTTCGATTCATAATCCTTGTCTGAATTCATTCTGCCCTCCCCTCTGGCTCGAAGCACGGAAGCTTTTACGTTTCATTAAATCATTAGAGAAAGAAGTCGATTTGTTGTACCGTTGTCGACTCTTAATCCTCCTCTAAATTCAGTTCCCCCCCCCCCCCTCCCGCGCGAAGCGCAAAAGCTTTTACGTTTCATTAAATCCTTAGACAAAGAAAGCGATTGTATAACCATTTTTTACTCTTAATCCCTGTCTGAATTCAGTTCACTCAACCCCCCCCCCCCCCCCTCCTACAGGAAAATGCTAAACTCCTTTCTTTTGCCTAAAAACATGTCTTTTTTTAAAGCTCAGTTTTACTTTTCTTTTAAAGTGACAGGTTGGCAGCTGTGCTGATGTAGTAAAAATCAATTTATTCAACCTGCATTTTGAATATTGAAAGATGCCTAATGATATCATGGATGAATAGTTTGTAACTATTCTAGCAGAAAAATCTCCATGAATTCAAACACAGTTGTGAATTGGTCTATTTTCCAACTACTGTACTAGAAATAGAACTTTTTATGAGACTAACTACCACCGCTACTACTCCTGTGATCGCATGTACATGCACACTCCCATGATTTCATTTTGATGCTTAGAGAGAGAGAGAATCTCTTGACCACTACTATCACCAATGAATAAACTCTTTGATCAATATTTGACATGTGTCTTTCTTTCTTTGCTTCCTGTAGGTTCCTTTCTTATCACCCTTAGAGGGTGCTATTCATATGATGATGTCATGTCACACAGACAGCCAGACCCATGCAGAGGGTTTCCTTACAATGTTTGATGACTGCAGTGGAATGGGTATGTGGCATAGGAGATGGTGTGTCCTACATGGTGGAAACCTGTCCTTCTGGAAGTATCCTGGTGATGAGAAGAAAAAGGTGAGAGCAAGAAGATTACATTGAAAGAGATCAATCAGTATGTCTGTGTGTGTGTAATTGGATTTTTATAGACGAGTATCAATTTACGTTTGGGGGCCCACCTTTAAAGTAACATTGCCTCAGATTCTGAAACAAAATCCTGGATTTAGCTCATGCTGCAATCATAATTATAAACCTTTAGGTCAGTCAGGATCCCACCCTTTTTTTAAAAGCCGATCCCCTGTCTGATTATCAAGATATTTATGATTGGAAATCGAAATTTCATTTTTTGTTTTCCTGACGGTTTTTAAAATACTACAGTCTATTGGGGAATATGAGTATGGTAAAAACCGGTCACTCAAAGATGTTTACTTTCTTGAGGCACTTCATGATCATTTTCAATATTACACCATATTACACCAGCGCCATGCATCTCAGATTTAACATTGTTAAATGATGCCTTTTATTAAGTCAACATCCAAAAGACGTGACTCGGTTTCTAGCCGGGGTCAGACCTAGCCAATTTGTAGGCGAAGACAAGGAGCTGTCCAGGTGAATGTATTTCTAGACCAACTCACATCTACCTGAGGCTGTGTAATCATGATGATTTTATTATAGGACTGGTTAGAGGAATGTGAAAATGACTCTGTATTCTGCTGACAATTGACTCTATGTTCGTTAGGCCCTAGTGTTCGTGATGGTGATGTTACTTTTTAAAAATTGTAACGATTAAATAATTTGGATGATTCGAAGATATCAAAATCATGAAAAAAGAGAGCAATGATGATGAGAACATTTTAGTCATTGAAAAAAGGGTTGATTGTTTATGGCTATATCCTGATTAAGAGCTAACTATTTTGGAGAGGAGTCTGATTGTGTTACATAAAAATATGTATTCCCCCATGTAGAAAACTAAGCCTTACTACATGTAGTTTAGAACTAGGTGTGGTATTCTGAAAATCCTTGTAAGTTTTCTTGTATCTTTGAGAGAGTGCTAGTGCTAGAGTGCTAACATTTGTGAAAGTTGGTACTATGAAAATTGTCTCAGCAGTCTGTTATCTTTGGAAGCTCCGCAATCTTTGACATCCCCAATTCGTTTAGACCTTACCAATCAAAACTTGATGTAATCACATTATGGATGTGAAATCCGTGAGAAAAATTGCCACTATCATGAGATACAACACCCTCTACCCTGTTGTAGATAGTTATTACACTGTATCATGGTAGAAAAGATAAAAGAAATAACAAGAACTTTCTGAATACCTCTTATATTAAAGTATTATCTGCTGAGCATTATTAAATTCAAAACAGATTTTAATCTCCTTTACATTCACTGGGTGCACAATATTTGAGCACTGGGTAGAGAAATAAGAGGACAGAAAAAAGAAAGGTTTTCATAGTATCAATTCTGTTTCAATGATGAAGATACAAGAATATTTGAGATAAAAGATAGTTATTGTGTGTAATAGGTAATGTATCCCTTTTGCAGCCAACATCAAATTCTGTAGAACTTTGCAGGAAAAATGAATATGTCATGTGTGTCCTATCTGTGAAAGTTAAACATTAGCAGTGTCCTAGTATTCAAATTATGCAAGGAAACCATTTACTTTCTGGACTTCACTGTCAGACACTGTTGAGTGAGTGAGTGACTTCTTCTTTCTTTAATTGGTAATAACATACAGTACATAAAATGAGCTGTAAAGGGTACATAAGCATTTGTCTACATCAATAACCCACTTCTTGTAATGGCCAAAATTAAACTGATTAAAATCATTAAATCTTTGCGCAGCACAAAAATGTACGGCCATCCAGTACACGGTTCTGAAAATCAGACTATTTAATTAAAGGACTGCAATCCCTAAATTCAACAACTAAAGGTTGTTATTTTCTCACAAAAAGATATTTTCAAGCCCTTTCGTTTTAAGGGAAGTTCTAAATTAGTATTATCTTTCAAATGCCATTGGAATTTACCCTTTTCATTTTTTTGGCCTGCAAATGGGACATAGGACCTTTAATGCGGTCATAATGTCTGTCTAGCTAAAGCAAACAACTCATGTTTTTCTCCGACCATGCAGCCACCCATCGGTACAATAGATCTGAAAGCATGTATCACCAGGGAGGTGAAGCTCATCTCTCGTATCCACTGTGCAAGACCTAACACCTTTGAGCTCCAGACCAGCCGACCCGCCAGCAAGTCAGATAGGGATACCCTGGTCTCTAAACACACCAACTCATACACTATCACAAAGTGAGTTCTTATTTTAAGTTTGGAGGCTGTGACCTATCCACAACAAGCACTGCTTTTCCCTAGGCTCCGCCATTATGTCTCTTAAGTTCAACTGAAGGACAATTTTCTGAATAGTTTGTACCAGTTTTCTATGTACATGTCTATTATACTGCTCAGTTAACCCTTATTGGCCAGATTCATTCTATTTTTAGATATTTTCCAATTAGTTTTTGACAAGTAACAGTGCTCTTACTTGGTTTTGCACATGGGATTCCCCAATTCCAAAGTCAAAATTAAAGTACAAGTCCAATCTGCTGGGACTGTAATTTTTTTAAATGTTCCTGAAATGTTATTAAAACCCCTCTTCACTAGTTTGGCCAGGATGGATTAGACCTCCATGCGTGGTCACTGACGGTGGTTATCTCATCAAATCAGCTCTCAATTAACATAAGAAAAAGGAGATCATGGGAGACCAACGGGTACCACTTAGGCATTGTTTGCTATATAGAGGGCGCAAGTAGCTACAAGTAGTGCAGTCCCACTTTAAGATGATTTAATTCTCACTATTTTCCGATACCCGACCCTATTGTTTATATCCCCCTCTCCACCTATTCTTTCCCCTTCCATCTTTGCAATGCTATTACTCTACATCTCGCTTACCCCACCATTTATTGTATCTTTCTTACCTTATCTCCCCCTGGCCCTCTCTTTCTTACCCTTATCTGTTCCTCTCCCTCCCTCTCCTCTCTGTATCCCATCCTTTGTTGAGCAGACATCTCTTGTCAGCAGACACCAAAGAAGATCGGGTTGAATGGACAACCTCTCTCAACAAGACCCTCCTGGAGCTGAGGTTGTGGTGCAAGGATGCTGTCAGACCAAGCCATGAATAAAACATGTCTCAATCTACACAGACCATTGGGACTAGCCATGCATGTGGATGCTGTAAGACCAAAGCTGTGAATGATCGACACTAGCCTTTTCAAGGACTTCTGCAACTTATGAAGTGGTGTCGAGACTTAGCCAGACTAAACAATAATTAGACTTTCTTTTTCCTTTCAAATGAAGACAAAATATACTAGGGCTAGATAGCTAGCTTTTATATTGTTAAAAAAAAAATCTGTCATGTTTTCATACTACTTCTTGGCTCATCTACATGTATGTAGCGTGCAAGTTCTGAATTGCACTTGGGACTCGACTTCCTATGGGAAATATGACTAGCTCAATTGATAATTTGGGAAAATTTGTAGTATTTTAAGGATTTGCTATAGTCATATAATCAAAGTACTGATTGCTGCTCTGTAATCATTCTCCATTTATTCTACAAGTTTCATAAATTGATTTGTACATGTACATGTAGTTGTTTTTGTTGCTAATTTAATTGTGTGATATTACTTGCCTTGTATTAGTTCACAGTATTTAAAATATTGATATTATATCCAATTAGCTAGAGGTTACACACCCTGTAAATTAGGTATTGAACGTACCACCTGTTTAGAGCCAAAAGAGCATTAAGTTATGTTCTTTTATATAATTAATGGCACTGGTTTTTTTAACGTACTGTATACAAAATGTATCCCCAAGAGGGTAACAAATGAAGTTATGTTTACATACTTCAAACCTGTATTTTTAGCATCAGTAGTATACATTTTATTTGAGAAATGCAAATTTTGGAGCTTAAAGCTAAAGGCCAGTTATGGTCATGCGACTGCATTGTGAAAGAAACATCAGAAAAGGTTGATCATCTAGCATAGATGTACTGCAAGGTTCTGGAATCATCAAAATGATAAGAAATTTGGCCAAGTCTTCATAAAGTTAAAATCACTGTACACAGAAAGATGTATATGGGACTACACACACGAGCGCGACACGTGCATTTGTATCTCTCAACAGGCGAGAGATACACTAATTTACCAAATATATCAATTAGTAGGCGGTTTCCGGTCAACATTTTTATCATCATGTATTATTCAAAACATATTCTTTCACATGATTGGTAATAAGAGCTTCCATTTCATTTTTTTAAATTGGGGCGTTTCCAATACTGGTCTTTACCTTTAATCTTTCTCCTTATTTATTCACCAGATATGAATACTACGAGTTCTTATAATTTTATTGTGAGCTATAGCATATTTAATAACTATGATATAAAACTCTTTTGCTATTAACTACACCAACAATTATTGTTGGTCTTTAAGAATATGTTTCAGAGATTATTCATGCACATTTTTGAGTTTCTATCTTGAAAAATACAGATTTTGTATCCCTTGAAAGTGAAAAATAGCTCTAAATAAGGGTTTTGAAAATAACAAGTTTTTATTTCAATAGATAAAATGATTTTTCTTGGGTCAAACTAAATAACAACAATAAGGTAAATACATACAAAAAAATTGGGAACCAGTGCATTGCCTAATAATTTCCGTAAGTCACACCGGTGTTTTGAACGTTACACACTGTTAACATCATAACTTTTCTCAAGTTAATTGCTTTTCTTTAGGTATTATTGACCCAAGTTACATCAATTGTTTGCAGAAAAATACTTCTCTAACATTCATGGAAGAAATAAATCTGCATAGTCATTGTGCAGTTTGAATTAGTTTAGCACATATGCCCTTGTGGGTCTGAGTAGATGATATACATGTATGTTTCTACTTCTATATCCTGAACATTACTTATATAATGTGCGACCATGTGCTTTTTATGCGACATACATGTATTCAAGTATCATATAGGTAGTACTATTTGGAATTCAATTTTGTAATCTTAATGTATCTGTAAATTCAAATTTCTGTAGAGTAGTCAAAAGGCTATAATTGGAAGTTCAGTGAATAATGCCATTTTTACACAAAGAGTAATGAGAAATCCAACCTTGATTTTCCAACATAGAAAATTCAAGAGAAGTAGAAGTAGAAAGAAGTATGGGCTTTTCAAATTGGCTGAATCGGTAATGTCTCTGCGATGTAGTGGACTAGTGGTGGACAACTTTCCCTTTTGTTCAAACACACAAAATGACTAATAAAGTTGAAAACAAATTATGACTAAGGAGGGGTCTCTTCTCTTTAGAGAATGTTTAATAGTATGCTTTCCATAATATGTTTGAGTAGAGCCTCATGGGAGGAAGCATTGATGAGAAAAACAGATCATATTTCTGTACTCTACAAACGGGAGAGATATCTGTGACTACTGGTATGTCACAATCCAATGACCAAACTGCCACTTCCAGATTCGCATAGACTTACCGGTAGTACATTTCAAACATTCATAACTTATTATTGGTCCGATTATTTCAAATTTGTGCCATTCTGTTGATCTTATTCTTCTGCTTTATTATTACAAGGGTTGGCTCTCTGATGCATTGTACTTTTAACATACATTTATTCAACTGTCAAGATAAAAATAGTAGAAAAATGGTTGTAGCTATCGAGCTCCCAAAGCACCAATAGAAGGAGCATTTAGTGGCACCCAGTTAAAATTGAATATGTATTTGATGGGTATTGAAACTTTAATGAATGAGATGAAATGTAAGCACGCAAGTTAACTTTTGGAGGACTGGACCTATAGAATGGTGCAATAGGGTGGAGAATGGAATTGGGTGCAACAATTTTGTAGCTGATGAAGTTGGACCATTGAAGTTTTAAATTGGATTGGTAGTTTCATACAGCCTGTAGATTTGCATGTAATGTGTACATTCTGATAATTCTAAATGAATGTACTGTATATAGGAATATATATTTAATCAAGACAAAGGTATTAATTTTGGAGTTATTACAGATATTAAATGTATAAACTGTTGATATGAGGGATTTTGTCATGAATGACATATACATGTAGTTTGAAGTGGTCCTGTCAGAAACTCAATTGTGGATGGCTGCATGTTTGTAAGTAATGAAAACGATTTGGGATTATAAAAAAATACATGTTCACGTTATTTAAGAGTTTGTATACTAAAACATAATTTTTTTTATTATTGGTCCAATTTATTTTTCTGAATTAATAAAAAGGGTTTGATAGCCCTTCAATTAATCTGTTTACATTTTGTTATTATTTTGTTATTATTTGAAGTAGATGAAAGAGAGAATGTCTAATTAAAGGTATTACAAAGTTTTGATATATTTGGATGCCCCTGTGGATGTATTAAAAACACTAGAATCTTTAGTCCCTAAAACACTTCTGCTTTTGAGAAAAATTGAATATAAAGATTTACCGGTGACCTTGAGAGGGAGCTATACAACAAAGTGTTTATTATTTACAATTTCATAACTTTATAGAGTCGATTTCGACCGTGACAACAATCGGTGAATATTGTAGGATCGCATATGCTTCCAATATGTAAATTTGAACCAAAGTCACGACCCCATACCAAAACTTTGTATTACCTTTAAGTACATCTGAGTGAAAAAGAGACAGATTTACATGGAGACAAGATGAATAACACTTGAAACATTCTTGATTTGTGAATATTTTGGGTTTTTTTAATATAAAAAGTTTTTTTTCCTTCTCTCTTCTAAGAAAACATTTTTTGAGCTCCAGCATCTACAATATACAATAGATACATGTACATAGAGTTTCTATCTTTCTTTGAATAAAATAGTAACTGTTCGTGCATATAAAAAAGACATAATAGGGCAACAGTGAACTTCAATAAAGGCAAAGAAAGTCCTATCTTCTAAGTAATACGCAATACAATTTACCTCTACAGGCAAGTCTTTTCATTAAAAACATTTGTATCTATTACATGTACTTGAGAGAATAAAAAAGCAGTATGAATGTACATGCATTCGTCTGAAGTCAGATTAGCTTTCTCCTCCCTAGAATTTAACAATAAACAATCAATATTCTTATTTGTATGTATCTAGCACCTGTTTTCAGAAGGGGAAAATGATCCATAATCGCAATAACTTGAGAAAAATAAATAAATCTTAAGGATATAACATTTTAACATCTTCACGCATAGAAGATAACCCCATGGTCATGCTGATAAATATGACAATGCCATTTTATCATCAAAAGAGCACTTTTGCCTGACTTTTTAACATCTAACATAAAATTTGTTCAAGGCACATTATGCACATACAAGTTGTGTGTAAATCAACAAGAACTGAATATAACATGTACACAAATGTAGAGTTTTTTAAAAGAATGAATGGCAATGAAAAATCAGTACATGTATTGAACAAAGCTTAGAAACTGGACAAGATACCCACTAAATCTAAAAACTTTAAAATATTTACAAAAGGACAAAAAAAATGACAAATTATTTCAACTTATAAGAATAACATAAAAATTCTAATTGAAAGTGTATATGTACATAGAAATACAAAAGATTGTTTGCATCCACCATAATTTGAATACATTCACAATCATACTGAAGGTGTTCATAATTTCTCACATAATTGCATTTAAATCCAGGGTCATGAAATCAATGTGAATCAGGGGTGTTTAAAGGTATAGACCAGTTTCGGAAACACCCCTCTCAAAATATGAAATGGAAGCTCTTATTACCAATCATGTGAAAGAATATGTTTTGACTAATACGTGAGGATACAAATTTTGCTGGGAAACCGCCTACTCATTGATATATTTGGTAAATTATCATATCTATACGGCCTGTATAGATATCGCGTAGTCCCATATACATCTTTCCGTGTACAGTGCTTGTAACTTTACCAAGACTGGGACAAATTTCTTATCATTTTGATGATTCCAGAACCTTGCAGTACACACCAATACTTGTATCCTAGATGATCAACCTGTTCTGGTCAACTTCACGTTTCTTTCACAATGCAATCGCATTGACCAGAACTGGCCTGTACCTTCAAGGATTGATGAAACAACCCTGGAGAAATCTTAAAATTTACATGATCCCTCAACAAAAGATAAATACGATACAAAAGATTACACATACATGATAAAACTTGCTTTGATTAAAGATGAAGTTGAGTTCTGGTCATGCGATTGCATTGTGAAAGAAACGGTGTGGAATCGACCAGCAAAGGTTAATCATCTAGCATAATATTCGTGTGTATTGCAAGGTTCTGGAATCATCAAAATGATAAGAAATTTGGCCAAGTCTTGGTAAAGTTACAAACACTGTACACAGAAAGATGTATATGGGACTACATGAACACGTGGCGTGAGAATCCGTCCAGATATTTACGATGCTACACGACATATTTAGAATACGAAGGCATTTGAAGAGCCATGCTTTTCAGGGAACATGTATTATCTGATGTTCTTCCACACTTGCATAATAACAATGATAACGCTCACAAATTATTTTTCACCTCTTCCCAGAACTCAACCTTCTCTTTAAGGCAAGACTGACTTTAGCTAAAATACCCAAAGTTCACACAAGAATCAGTATTCTTCTACCTCTGATTGAACATGTATACTTTATTTAACCTTTCTTTAGTTTCTACAATGCGTAATGAAAATCTTTCAATAGAAGTCTGCAATTATGGGAGAACTCAATTAATGCAGCATTTAACGAAAATCATACATGTATATGACATTTTCGATTTAGAGTAAAATTATGTCAAACCTTTTATTGCAATGATTATTTATATAAATCAAGAAATTATGTATCATAGACTTGTATGGGGTCATTTGTGTATTACATGTATTCAAACCATACTGCTTACAGCCCACTAACCTAACTCTGCACAATTTTGGAAAGTTTGCAATAGTATGTGATATGAAATTGTAAAATCATAATGATTGAGGATTTGAATAATACGTTAAATAAAAATCTAAATTGTGAGGGATTTCATACTTCCTTGAAGAAAAGCTGATTTTGCTTTTATTCCGACTAGAAGAGTTAAAGGGGGTGTAGCTTGGGTAAATGCTGGTTAACGTCATGGACTTGATTACTGTTAGTCAGCAACTTAATCTCTACATGGTCAGCGCGCGTTCCCGAAAATAGACCGAAGTTCTCCTCACACTTTGGTTTTTGTGTATGTTGTACGCACGTGATAGCTGCGGTAGCGTCATCGGTATTGGTATTATACTCAACTGGCCCCCGAGTCGGGCCATGGGAAAACACATAGTCTCGTAATGCTACACGTTACCCCCTTTAAATGCAATAAAATTCAGGCCGTTAATAGTGTTCTAACCATTATAATAAATGAAAACAATACAAATAAACTTTTGTTGTATATATCACATTATGATATAGCCTCCCCATCTGCTTCTAAAAAAGTTTGGATATTAATACCCTGGAGCCGTAATCAGATCAGAGCACAATGCATCCCAAAGAATAAATCCTGCCTGCCTGGTGCCCATTCGACATCTGGGTGGAGAGTGGTAAATGCGGATTAAGGTCTTGCCGAAAGATATGAGTTCTGGGCTGAGATGTAAACTCTCAACCCTTTGAATGAGAATCGTGAATGAACCACTATACCACGACATCTCCACAACCTTAATCAGGAAGATGAAATTTGTTTAGAATTCCATATCTAATATAAGTACCATTTCTTTAAAAATAGGATCACAGGAAGATCGTATAGTGTGCAGTGCAGTTTACAAATATTGAATGAAACATATCCCAAAGCATTTCTCCCAAATACTTTCAAAGTTGTCAAATAAACAGCAATTTAAATAGCAGTCATTAGTTGAGAGCTTATACCTGTACATGTACAAAGTTTAAGTCAATGTTTGGAACTAAAAGGGTGTTAGCCCTGTGTAAAATGATACGAGACGAGTTAACGCCCTTCTGGCTTCAATCAGACAAAATGTAGTTTCCTCTATATCACATACTTTTCTGCCACAGGAAACAAGCATATACATGCATTGTTTCATTATCTTATCCACGTTCATTAAGTTAATTATTTAGTTTCATGCCTGACAGATGGGCATGAATGAATGATTAGACAAAAGATGTCCACATCGAGAAAATTCCCATATCTTTTATTGTTCTTGGACTTCGTCTATGGAAGATAACTTATCCTAGACTATCAGAAATTTGACATAAATATAATCTGTTCATGCCCTTCTGCCAGGCACACAACAATTTTTATACTGTGAAACTTGTACTGTGAAACCTGTACATAAAAAACACTTGAGGGAGACAAGGTAAACAGGTCGCACTAGGTTCCAATAGAAAACAAATATCAAGGGAATCGAAGTATTTGGTCTTTATAGATAGGTGATTGCTAAAGCATGTTTCACTGTATTCACCCGTATGCAAAATGCTTTGCCAGATAAACTACATCGTGAAGAGACTACACTTTAGCATGAGACATATAAGTACGTGTAGGCAGGAAGCACAAGTTGTTTCTCTTTAGGGCTGAGAAAGGTGACTGACAAAGCTGAAGGAGATGGCTGAAGGAGAATGTACCAAAATTCTAACAAGGAATAGCTGAAACGTACTTTTAAGATTGTGTTCTTTGCATTAGTGCATGCAGTCAGATCCATGGTAGGCTGGGGTAGCAGAATTAACATTTTTGAAGCTACACTTCTAATTCGTTGAAACCACCCTATCTAGAATTCTGAGTTTTTCAAACTATGGTACAAATTGATTCCCCCCCCCCCCCACTGGAAATGAATATGTTGCATCTTTCACAAAACATTCAAGTATTCTATTACCAACTCTCTAAGACAGATTATAAAACAACAGAATTGATTTTTGATTCTGTCCAAATGTTAAATAGTACCTTTGACTTTCAGGACTTGGTGATTAAAACATGAAAATGCAGAGGCTAATCACTTCAGATAGCCAAAGATTCCATGCTAGTATATATATATTCATTGAAGACAATTATATCAAAATGTAGACTATTCATTGCTAAATGTCTTAATGTTGATTGTAAATGTCTTTAAATACAAATATTAATATTACAGAATCTAAAATATTTTTCTCATCAATCTTGAAATGCAGATTCTATATTCTGAAAGTATTCAAAATGAAATGCTGTGTATCATGAATAAAGATGCTACTCCTATCCATTTCCCATCATTACATTTTCATGTAACATTTGTCTCTTTTTGTCTTTGCAATTGGCACGATACCTAGAGGAAGTTGCTCTGGCATTGGCAAGTTTCCTCTTTGCAAAGAGTTGTTCTTTGGTGGGATATACACCATGATCTTCTTTCATGTGGAAGGCCAGGTAGTCTGTACGGGCAAAACCCTGGTCACAGTGATCACATCTATAGGGCTTGAGGTGGGTAAAGAGATGTTCCCTCATGTGCTGCTTGCTCTTAAAGTTCTTTGTGCAGTTCTCAATAGTACAACAGAATGGGCGAGCAGGATCCTTTGTGACCTTGAAATACTCTGACAACTGAATACCTCCTTTTGGATTGAGAAGAAGATGCGATGAGTGATCAGAGTTGCGCTTCCTCTTACGGCCATCTACCTTGACAATCTCATCCCCGTTGACAACCACTGGTTGAGTTTGAGGCTCTTCTTCTGATCCAGATTTCATGCGGATACGCATCACAAGATCGCCTTTCATTAAATGCTTTGGTGGGCGACCTCTTCCCCTCTTGACCGGGGACAGACTGACTACCTGTGCATGCTGCTCCTGTGACTGTGGCTGACGTGGTGGCTCTGGCTTCACCTGCCCCTGGCCTAGTTCATCATTATTCTTCTGTTCAACATGACCAGGGTTGTAATTGCCTGTGCGACGTTTTGGCCGGCCACTCGGTGTGAAAAGTAGTTCATCTTCTGATAGCTCAAGAAGGATGGATCCATTTTGGGCAGGGGAAGTAGGTGTGGATGTAGTATCAAGCATTGCTGGAGAATCAAGCTCTACAGCTGGTAGGAGAGACGCATCGTCTGGTTTATCTGGTAGTGCTTCTTGGCCACTGGAGCTTGATGAGTCAAGGGCAGAACTAATGCTGGTAACAGAAGCATCTACAAGTGCTTCCACCTCAGTATAATCTAGGGGGGCTTCCACCACATTATCCCCAGTAGCAGGTGTTATGACTGTGGCCTCTGTCACCTGTAGCAGTGGACGTTTCCTTGGCCTACCTCTACCCCTGCTTTTGTACTTTGCAATAACGTTCTTTGCAGCCCATCGCTTGTGGAAACGCTTCTTTCGACTGAACTTTGATTTCTTTCTAGGCACTGGAGAATAGTCCTCATCTTCATCATCATCTTGGAAATGGAGATCCTGTTCTGGCTCTTCCTGTGACAAGTCATACTCTCCACTGGCCAGGGAGGTAGAAGCATCTTCTGGAGCAATAGGTTGTACTGTCAGTACATCAGTGTTATCTGGTTGAGGAGTTGGTTCAGGGATCTCTTCTGAAATCTGGGGTACCATTTCAACAGAGTTTTCTGCAACTTCCTCAGAACTTGCCAATCCTGAGTTGCCCTCAGGTCTGGCCGACTCTACACCGATATTTGCTTGACAATCGTCAGTAGAGCCATTGCCTTCCCCTGTGGGAATTACTCTTGTAGTTTGAGTTGGAGTTAATTTGGGACTTCCATTTTTGGCTGCTTTCCCAGATTCACATTCCTCATCTTTTCCAAAGAAATCAACTAGATCAAGATCATAGTCTAGGGAGGTTTGCACAGGTGTAGTTCTGGAAAGATCACTCCCAATCATAGTTGGTGCCACAGGAAGGTTTGATATTACAACACCCATTGCGGGTGTCAGGCTGGCAGCTGGTATACGGTCAGTGGGAATGAGTTTCTTAGAAGAAGACTTAAACAGCATCTCCAGGTCTTTGGGATCTCCCGAAAAACCATGGGCTTTTTTCATGTGCTCAGCCAGGTATTGCCATCGAATGGTATCAAAGGAGCACTCACCACATTTATACGGTCTAGTGTGAGTTCGCACATGATCAGTCAGGTTGTTTCTACGCTTGAAGCCTTTCCCACATATGTGACAGATGAATGGACGCTCTGGATCTATTTTATACTGGAATGCTTTTGCTCTTGGAGATCTTGGACTTCGTGGGGACTTGGCCTTCTGGTGAGGTCTGGAAGCTGAATGATCTGATGCTATGCTACCCGCAGGTGGTGACTGAAGCCCACCTATTACTTCATCATTGGAGGTTATGCCAACTGATCCAGAAGGCGAGCTGCTCTCAGATAGCCTTGATGAGATTACAGGTCTCACTTCAGCATTTGGAGGTGATTTGTCCATCATGCTACGTGCTACTACTGTGAGAATATCTGGACTTTCTTGAGATACATTTGATGATTCTGATGAATCGCTTTGTTGACCCATATTTGGTTTGATCACATTTGGTTGTAATGTAGATGACGATGAGGTGCTGGGTCTCTTTGCAATCTGTCCAGTACTATTGTTAATAACAGACTCAGACTGCTGATGGTGTGCTGGACTTCCTGATTGCTTGTTCTCTCTATTTTCAAACCCCTGTCCTGGATAATGATGAGGATTGCTGTCACCCTGATGAGACGAATGCAGAAGATTAGCTGCACTTACTGAATGAGGTGATGGTTGTACAAATTGATGTGGTATTTGGCTCGGTCTCACCTGACCAGGCATATTCGTAATGTTATGCACCATACCCTGCTTAAGTCCTTGTTGGCTGTACTGAGCTCGCATCATCAACTGATGAGTGGCCCACTGTTGGTGTTGTTTGGCAAGTTGTTCTTGTTGCTGTTTTTGTTGTTGAAGTTGCTGCTGTTGAAGTTGTTGCTGTTCCTGCTGATGATGTTGTTTCAGGGCATACTGTTGTTGAAGTTGTTGCATGGCTGTCAGGGATATCTGTGACCCTTGTGCTCCAACACTTGGTTGAGGAAGAGACGTTGCTGCATGATTTGGCATGTTCATGTGTGGAGCATTGAAACGCATTCCTTGTGTCACTGCCGAAGCTAAGCCCATGGGATTCAGGTTTGGGTTCATCTGGAATCTGCTTGCTGTTTCTGGCTGGATGAATACTGGCTGCTGAGATGGCACATTGTGTGGAATCTGCTGCTGCATCATACCTGGGTATTGAGGGTGACCCAGCGCTACATGAATAGAAGAAGCCTGCTGCTTTAAAGCACTGATGTATGGATTGCTTCCTATGGCATTGCCTCCCATGGCATTATCTGGTTTGTAATACACTGGCTGCTGTACATGCATCCCCAATTGTCCTTGGATTCCTGGTGGCATTACAGCAGATCCAGGCATGTTAGAAGGTGGATATTGCCCACCCTGTGGTTGAAATTGTGGAGCCTGCGGGAGGGGAAATCTTTGGGCATGTGCATTTCCCATTGTAGAACTTTGCATCCTGAAGTCACTAGCTTGCCCTTTGGCGTACTCCATTTGCTGATGTTGATAACTGGTAGAAATAATTGGATTCTCTTCGGGTTCATTGCTCATGGCTTCGGATTTTCCTTTCAGTGATTCTACCGATACAATTACCGGCATAACCATATTATCGTCATCCTGATTTTCTTTCTCAGATTTTATTGTTTGTGCATCATCTGTTAGCTTGACATCATTACAAGCATCTTCTTCATCATCCTCATCTGCTACTTCAATAACATCACCTGATGTATCTTTGCCTTCTGAACTTCCCTTTTTCTGATGCACATCATCGTGATAGTCAGTGACGTCTTCACAGGACATGTCCAGCAAGAAATCGCCCACAGTCATAATGCTAGACTTTGATTGTTCAAGCTGTATGTCAGAATCCTCTACAACAGTGCCCTGTTCTGTTCTGCTTTCCTGGGCTTTAGTCTGTGAATCTTTGCCATCTGATCTTTCAATACATGTATTTTTTTCTTGTTCCTGGTCTGAATTTCCTTCAGCTTTCTCATCCTCAATCGGTATGAAGCCATCACTTGCAACTGAAATATCATCTGACTGCAACTCTTGAGAAGGCGACTCTTCATCTTCTCTACTTTCAAACTCTTCTTTCTCCTTTCTTTCATTTTCATGAGCAACTGGATCCTCAACATGTTTCGGTGACTCTTCATTATGCTCAAGAATATGTGGATCTTCTTTTTGACCCTCTGTATTGTTATTGCTGTTATGAAGAGATGTATTTTGACTTATATTTTCTGGAAGTTCATCATCTATTTTAGTATCTGGTTTATTTGGATCTCCAGTTTCCTCAATAACATCATCTGAGTTCTCTTCTTTTGACCTTGAATCACCTTGCTCATCATTCACAGTTTCACTTCCATTCCAATTGCTTTTCTTATTGTCTTCAGCACTAATGGTAATATAATCATCTCCCATTGGTCCATCACCATCTTCAACAAATTCTATGTCTGTAACTGTCACTTGATCTTGCAATGAGGCAATGTCAGAATCTTCAGCATCTTCAAAACTACCAACTTCTCCACCTTGCATACAGGCAGATTCTGTATCAACACCTTCCTCTCCTCCAGCGTTCCCTATATCTTCTCCTTTAAGACTAGCATTTCCTTCAGTTTCAGCTTGCTCTGTGGATGCAAGTCTACCTGTGCCATCTCCCATGTCCATAGGTTCAAAACTCTCTGCTTGATTTAGACCATCAGCTCCTGCACTTGCTTCAGCAGCTTCTCGGGTCATCCGTTTGCGCCAACGCTTCAGTAATTTCTTCCTCCTATGTTTGGACATGACTGGCTTTTCAGGAGTATTAGGCTGTCTCTTTGGAACATACTTTGGACCTCCATGGACAAGTTCAATGTGCTTGGCCACATTGTCCTTCCGTGATGCTTTCAAACCACATGCTCCACACGAGTATGGCTTGACATGTATTTTGATATGTTCCAGGAGACAATGTGTTGAGTTAAAGTTCTTTGGACAGAGATTACACTTATATGGGCGCAATGTACCAGCTTCACATCTGCCGTATCTTCCAACAAGATCAGTAGTCGTGGCCTTGGGGTCTTTGTAAATGATGAAGGTGGGTACTTCATCACTACTCCTTCGTCTTGGTCTGCCTGGACCCCTTCTCGCATTCACGTTGATGTACTCGATTTTAATACGGCCACCACACTCACTTTTCACTTTGTTTGCCTGCTCCCCTGCCTTCCTGCTGCCATATTCTGCCCTTATCTTCAAGGACATTCTTCTTCCTTGTCCTCTTCCTCTTCCTCTACCTGTACCCCTGCCAAATGATGAAGAATGTATAATCTCAGTGTTTGAATTCATCCCATTACTAATAGTTATTGGCGATGATGAACTGTTGCTACAAGGTTCTTCTACATTGCTGATATTACTGACACTAGGCGTTTCCTTACTCTCAATTGTTTCTTTGTCATTCTCCAGTTGGACATCTGTATGGCATTTGTCCATGTGAGCTGTTAACTGTCTATCATCCATAAACTTCAGATGGCACAGTTGACAGCGTACCAGGAATCTACCCTTAATGGCTCTAGTTTGGTTGTGGTAGTATTCTTTGTGAGACAGAAGTGCTTCTCGATTCACAAATATCTTCTTGCACTGTGTACAAATGTACTTCATTCGCTGCTTCTTACGGTGAAATTCCTTCCATATTTCCCAATGTCCGGGAGAGGTCTGTAGATGCTTCTCATATGATTCTTCTTTAATGAATAGGCGGTTGCACAACTCACAGTGCTTCAAACTCCCACTCCCTCCTGTGCTCTGACTTGAACCCCCAGAGTTCAGAGGGACCAAATTTCCACTCCTGTCATCTTCACTGCTCTCATTTTGAACATGCTCTGCACTTTGGTTTGCTGGAAAAGTAGAATTTTCATTTTTTTTCTCAGAGGTCAATAGTTTCAATACGTTCGGCAGGTTATGTAGCTTCCCGCCTTGGTTGGATTCTGATAAATATGTAGACAATTTGGTCTGCTGTGTATTTCCACTTGAGTTTGTCGGTCGAGGAGCACTAGGAATTGTTGCTTGTGGATCGAGGCCAACTGGCGGAATGCTTACTGAAGCAACTACTCTGGTCCGTGGCTTTTCATTCTCCAGTTGGACTGGCTGCGGAACCTGGTGAAGCTGAAGCTGCTGTGGTGGAATTTGCTGAAAATGCTGATTATAGTGTGCTTGTGAGAAAGATCCCTGTTGTGTATTTGGTTGAATTTGTTTAGGGTGGCTACTGATGTGTGGTTGTATTTGATATTGTGGACGACTACCGGGTTGCTGCTGTAACTGTTGGACAAGAATAGACTTGTGCTGCACTGGTTGTTGTGATGTTTGCTGCTGCATCAAAGCCTTTTGCAAGACAGATGAGTACTGGCCCTGAGGTACATGGACAACCTGGCTAGAAGGGGGTGGTGGTACACCACTGTTAGGGACCCAATTGTTTGAAGCTATCATGCTACGTACAGTTCCACGAGGGAAAGTAGTCCTATTTTCTGAGCCCTCAGTGCTGTTTCGCCGCACCGTACCTTCTGATGCCATTGAAATTTCATCAGGATTGGACATGTGCCACTGATCCTGTTGGTCTCGCACTAGTGGTGCAGGGTGTGGTGCAGGAATAAGAGGTGGGGGCTGTCCAGCTGGCTGTTCAGCTGACCGTTGCTGCTGTGCTGGTGGTGTCAGGGGAGGTCTGGCAGGTGTATGTGGTGCTACAGGTGAAGCTGGGACAGTACTTTGGCTAGCTTCCTCAGCAGCCTTGATGACAGTCTTTGACAACACAATGCCATTGATCAAACTACTGTTTACACATGCTGTCTGCTTGCCCTGGCTGTTGAAAAGGATGAGATTTCCTTGCATGTCAACCTTGAGAGTATCGCCTCCTTGGAGCATCAGCACAGTCTTCTGATTCGATGGTGTTCCTGGTGGCATGGCAACATTCTAGAATAGAGGGGAAAAATGAAAAAAAGTCTTAAAGCAAGTGTATGTATAGTCGCTTATCCACCATATTTTGACCCTATGTTATTTCATCATAAACACATACTATCAAATAGCCCAGGGGTGCCATCGAATGAGTAAATTAGAAATGGGTAATTCCATAAATTAGTGACCCACTTTGTGACTCTGTTACATAAGGAACTAACATGTATTTGTGGCTCTGATTAAAGACTTAAATAGTGGAGTATGATTGTTAAGTGATTATAGGTATGAGGAGGCTATATAATGCTTCAAAATCACTTTAGAATCTCACTCCACTATTTAAGTCTTTACTCAGAGCCTCAAAAACGTGTGGGTTCCTTATGTAACAGGGACACAAAAATTGTCACAAAGTGGGTCCCAAATTTATGGAATTACACAGATCAGTCTATCCGCCAATTAAACAAATATACCCACCCAACGAGAGCAAAGGGAGCACCATAACTGTGTAACACACATACATACAGGCAAATGAATGGGGTGAGAAATGTGATTAGATTCTCACCTTTACAGTGGTACTGTCAGGGACAGGTGCTGCCACCGCACTATTTGGCTGGACTCCTGCTGGAGGGGCGATGGTTAGCTGTGGAGGATTGCCCTGGATTTGGTACACCCTGTTGACTCTGCTGTCCTTTATCATAGGAGCTGATGGTGAAGAGCTAGTAGGCACAGTAGGTATTACTTGATTTGTTTGATGCAGGTGTTTCTCCTGCAAATCAGGAAGTTCTGTAGGTGGTTCATGTCTGTCCTCAATAGCAGTTTGCTGGCACACTTCATTTGGCGATGACCCCGCATAAGCACTTTCCTGGTCATTAATTTCTTCCTTCCCACCATCAAAGAATTTATTTGCAATGTCACAGAAATCTGTAATGTCTGAAGCTTCATCCAGCATGTTTTCAATTGCTGGAGCGATGCGGGGAGAACTGGGATTTCTGCGCCTCTGGCTACTGCTGTTGCCCAGCATACTGCTAACTGGCTTGCAAAGGACAGTTTCTGGTGCTTCAATGCCATCTTCATAGTCCATTGCACTTGCATCTTCTGAGATATTCAGCTGGCTCATGGACAAATCGTCATCCTCTGACTGTGAATCATCTATATCTGAGCTTTGAAAGGATGGTTTGGTAACAGCTGCAGGGGATTTTTGTTTGAAAATTTTTCTTCTGGACTGGGACTGAGAGCTACTTGGACCCCTCTGTTCGCTCTCTTGTGGTACTGCAATTTGACTATTTGAGGAAATGCTTGAATCATTTACCCTGGCAAGCATGTTATCAAGAGAGAACTTCTTTTTTTGTGTTGTTTTGCCAACAAGGGTGGTGGGAGTGGAAGAATTTGTGTTATCAACACGGGTTGGAATACCACTTTCCTTTGGCCCCAAACCTGCTGTAGAATCATGTACGCTTTCATTCTCTTGATCATCATTTAATGAAGAGTCTTTGCTACTGTCTAATTTCTTCCTTGGACTTGTAGTACTCGAGTTATCCTGTGCTGTTTTCATTTCCTCCATACTCTTTCCAGTTCTTATGTTAACTAGTGGGTCTTCCTGCTCATCTAAAACTGGTCTGCTTTCTTCACAAAAGATCACATTTGGAATTGACGATTCCAAGGAATACCCAACAGAGTCACCAAGAGAATTTGAATTAGGAATGGCAATAGATGAGTGACCACTTGATGGTATTTCACTGCTATTTATAATGTTAGATGAATCACTACTGATGTGAGCAACTGGGGTCATTGTTTGCTCAACAAAGCCAATTCCTCTATTTTTGTCATTTTTCTGTTCCATGTGACTGTCAATTTCCGCTGATCGAGTTTTAGGTGGCAAATCAAATGAAACACTATTTTCAGAATCATTATTTTGCTTGTTTGACGATATAGTGCTCATCACTTTAACAGATTTAGGGATAGCATCATCTAATCTAGAGTGCTCCTCTGATTCTCCTAAAATGACCTCAGTAGAAACTTCATGCTCCTCCTCTTCCATAACTGATAATTCATTTGATGAAACATTCATTCTCAGCACATACTTATTATGATAACTGCTTTCACTACCGACATTGTCTGTATTAGAACATGCTGGAGCATTTGCACAGGAAGATTCCAAGGAATATTCTGAAACCAGACAAGGTTCAAGCTGCAGTTCCTCCTCATGTGGGTTACTAGATTCATCAACCGCGACAGGTTGCTCATACTGGGATTCACTTATTTGGACAAAGCCTGCCTGAGGTGAAACATCACTTTCAATATCTCCAGAGTCCTCACTACTCCTCGCAATTCCTGCAGTGTCTTCACCCCTAGTGGAATCAGATTCGGAGAGGTCAGGTTCTGGTGACATGAGATTGCTGTTAGAGAGACAGCTGTGAAATGGCTCAGCAGCTATTATTGGTGAGATGAGTTCATCAGAATCAGTGTATGTCCGCTCACATCCCAGGGTTTGTTGGTCCATAGGTGGTGGAGACTCTGGGGATTCCATGATGATGGACTTGGAGGTTGGTCTACATGGGCTGGCAAGAGAATCCATTGTGGTCTTCAACTCTCCCCAACATCAGAAGGCAGGGAACTGTCATATCAATGCTGTAGACTGATCTGAAAGATATAAGCAATGACATACAAAGATTAAATATTGTAAACATGTTAAAGGTCAACTGAGAGTATATACTACTCTAAGAAGAGTTATATATGTAGGTGCATGAACAAGTTTGTTACGTCAATTATAGATTACATTGATGTTTTTATAATAGATTGACCCTCCAGTACACAGCAATGAAGATGGTTATGAATTTGGATACCCGTTAATGTACTATGGTACAGGACATTTCTAGAAAAACTCCAAACATCTTACCGACAATTTTGTGTTATATTGTTGACACAAAGTTTTGATGATCTCGTGAATAAACTTCATAACTTATTTTTCAGACAAAAACTACCGGTAGATCTAGATCTAAGTTCGTGCCATCGCTAGAGCAACCTCAATCCTACTCCTAGCCCCCCTAGCTATGGCAGAATACACGACAGTGTAACTGTGGCCGGAGAGGGCAGTATCAAGCCAGCACAGCCGAGCTAGCTAGAGCGGCCAGCAGCACAGTGCTTTGCAAGTATGTGTGTGTACCCCAGCTTTTGCCGTGCTCACTAAACATACATACCAGCTTTCACAAATACAATGGGGGCTTTGGAGCGGCTTTCGAATGTCCACAAAGGGTAATAATTAGTCATTGTCTGGGGAATTCATTGATGATGGTGATGATAATGTTAATATGGCTTCATTGGGTAGTGGATGATTATAAAACTGATGATAGTATTTAAAAAAAAAAAATTGTATACAAAATGTCAACATCGGGGGTGCGGCCTACAGTGTATAAGGCGCTGCGGCCTTAACGTCTTTACGCAAACACGGTACTATTTACGGCTTGGGAAAACAGTGTTTACTTTTATTCATGTGACACACTTTTAACCAATCACTGAACAAGAATATATGAATGACAGACAGCACCACAGAGATAAGGAGAAGGATGGCAATGGTGAGATCAATAGTACAGAATATGTCTCACGTCTGGAAGAGCAGAGGCCTATCTCTCATTCTGAAGGTTCGTCTGCTTCAAGCAACTTCTTTCTCTATTGCGACTTACGGGAGTGAGTCCTGGGCCATGACAAAGAATGACAGAAAGAGAGTTGATGCCTTTGAAATGTGGTGCTACAGGAGGCTGTTGCAGGTGTCATGGAAAGATAAAAAGACAAATGTGTGGGTCCTGGAAAAGATTTGACCATCAGAAGGGGAATCATGGAAAGAAAACTAAACTATTTTGGGCACATTGTTAGGAGATCTGAAGGTGTTGAGAAGCAAATACTGCAAGGAGCAGTCGAAGGAAAACGGGGTAGACGTCGTCCACCAATATCTTGGACTGATGATATCAAGAAAGTGTCGCGACAAGGAATGAAAGGTGCAACACAAATGGCAGGTGAAAGAGTTGCATGGCGTGCTCTCGTGAAGATCACAGCAGCGCTTTACAGTGCCACCTGAAGTTGATGATGATGATAATATCATCATGGTGACAAAAGCCAAGATGGACAGAGAGTGCAATGATTCCCCATTCGGAATGCAAGCAAATGAATAATAAATCCTGGGTATATTAATAACCTCATGTGCAATTATTGTGCAAAGTATGACAATTAAGCATGCCTTGAGATGAGTATGTACAGTATTGAGAATATGCACTGTATTGCATTTAATTTTTTTTCCTTTAAAGAACATGCTTGAATTTACATGTAAGTCCTAAGATCTTTATTCAATAAACAAAGGCTCCTTAAGTCATACACAAACTTTCCTTTTCCATTTGTCAATGATTGCTAGTCGTGTCATGAAGTTTTAGTGAAATGGTACAAAAAACACCTTGCACATAAAGCGAGAAGTGAGAGAAGTGTACAAGAAAGTGCAGAAGTCTATAGTCCTCGTGTAAATTTATACTTATCCTTAGAATTCATCGAACCCCTGTGCTGAATTTAATTTGAACAAGTGTGATTCAAACACTGCAGTACCGTGTACTGTATGCAGTTACTTCTATGAGCAAGGGGTATTGAGCGCAGTATAACGACGTGTGCCCGGTAATTGCTCTCACTGGGAAATGACTCATGGTCAGGGGTACCAGCGCAAATTCACCATGTATTAGACTTCCAATACGACTTCTACTGCTCCGAAATTGAGTGCGGCTAGAAAATGAACAAAAGCGTACAGTATCACATGAACTAGTCCATTGGACTTTAATATACACGTACAGTGTATATTACCATCACATGGATCGATGTAACATTCAGTGATATCAGCACCAAAACAAAAAATAAAAAAAGTCTGAAATGTACTAACATTGTTTTGAAATTTACACCTGATTAACGTTAATCTAATCATTAATCTATTAAAGAAATTCATATAGTGTATATATGTATACAAAGAACAAGTTCCATATGATGCATCTATTTAGTGTTAAACAATAAAACTAGCTGCTACCGGGCTCATACGTAATTATCAATGAATAGTTTTGTAGACTGACCTATAAAATTACTGATGAAATGCATCGTATCAACCTAGATGCATGTAATGTGACATAAAACTACAACATGTACCAGTACAAAATATCACGAGAATTGAATTTGTCATTCAAACAAATTAGGTGGTCTGTTATTAAATCTGGTGGACGCTGATCTTGTTCAGAATTGTCACAGCTACAACATATCAAAATTTGGAAGAAAATCAATCAATATTTACAGAAATACAATAAATTTTTCATAAATATGCTGATGTCATAATATGCAAATTCATATTTTGAGTTCCAAGGCCATTATTTTTAGGAAATTAGGCATTTTATTATATCGTTTGTGATTGTAGCATGTGCACGTTTTTTTGCGAAATGTCCAAAATGGCCTGAAACATACTCTCATTTGATTAAAAATTATTTCGCACGTAATGCGCGCGTTAATTGATCTGAAATTGGCCGGACGGATATGACTTTAATCGTGATAAATATGAATGAGAAATGACTATTTGATATGAAGTTACGATCATGAGTTGATTTTCAGAAAAATTCACAAAATGGCGCCTGGATGACGTCATGAAGAATTGATGACCATGAAAATGTTATTGTCACATCTCATGACAATGACCTATGACTGTGCAAAAATTGAAAGAAGTTGACTGTACCAACCTTGAGTTATGTTATATACACAAAAAAGTGGGTGCTAATAAATAAAAATAAAGAATAAAAAAAGAAAGAAAATTCTGATGAAATTAATAAGTGTTCTGTCATTGACAGACCACCTAATAAAATTCTACTTTCCCCTGAATTTTCATTATACATGTACATGTATGCATTACTTTGTTAAGCTTCGCATGGTGCAAGTCAAAGAAGATGACTATTCCATATACACTGTACATGTACAGTGTACATTTATAGGCCTGGCTACATAGTCATGCATGTATTTGCATGGTAATTTACCCGTACGTACATGTATGCATGGTAATAGATCAATGCCAAAATGCAGATTAAATAATCTTTTCTTTGTTGGGAAAAGATTATAAAAACACCTGTTCGTACACTTGTTACATTAAATTAAATATAATGCGTTCACTATAGACAAATGTTAAATTAACCATCCCAAAATTCCAAAATGATTAATCAGGGTGTAATTATTCCCCCCCCCCCCTTCAATTTGCAAGTGGAGTACTTCAAGGGTGCCTGAAAATAATACACAGCAGCACATCCGTCTTCAAAACACTGAATAACCTCATTCCTTCCCTCTCTCTCTCTCTTTCTGTCTCTCTCTCCTTGTGTCTCTCCATGCCCAGATTGTTAATACCACAGACTGCATTCAGAAAGAGCAAGAGAGGGGAGGGGGAAGGGGGGGGGGGGGGGAGTAGGAGGGAAGAGAGACTCCACATCAGTTAGCCAATGGCATGACAGCACAGCGTAGTGAGTGACCTTTGCTTCTTTCAGCATTCCAGACTTGAGCTGGAATTGGGTGTGCGTTCAGGGGAAATGGCGAGTCACGTGACCTACTAACTCTCGCACAAACTATGCGAGGTACACAAAACTTCTGCAAAGTACTGAGTAATGCTCATTTCAAACAACTCCCATCCAAACTGACTTTTGTCCACAAATAAGCTCAGGATATTCCAATCGTAACATTAGAGAAACTGCAAAGCAAAATAAAGACATCGTTCTTAAAGTAGATATTCATTGATTTTAAAAACTAACTTTATTTTCATTATTGCAAAGTTGAAACTTTGATTTGACAAGGTTATCAAAATTCAATGCTTGGAAACATTCGAAGTAAGGATTATTATAAATTACAAAACGCTTAATTACAGCCCCGGCATAGCACCTGAAGAGCTCTCCGAACGCTGCTGAGATGTGTGAGTTCACGGGATGGACATGATTTGCATAAGCAGATGATTTCCTATGACATCTCACACATTTTCAGTGCCTGTTTTTTCATCTTCTCTTGAGTTCTTTCTCTTACTTACTACCGTCAGGCTAAATGTATAATCTAATGCCTCCCTCTAAACGTGCACATGGTTTTATTTTGATGTCAAATGCAGCGATACAAAAATAAAGGAATCTGTCGCTTTTAAACAAAATAAGACGCCATTGTATATTCAGCTGCACACACCGCGGTATGTTCGGCGTTTCAAGAGGGAACAAATGCCGTCCTTAATATCATGCCGGGGGTTATTCAATTTGAAAGTATGGTTTCTTTGATTGTTAATTAACCCCTATCCTGTGTATTTACAAACAAAAGATTTTAGTTATCAGAATTGGTTTCATATCCCCCTTTGAATAGTTTGAAATGCCATCACATTATATACACTAAACTCATTTTAATTTGAGAAATAATAGCTTTGCAATTATATTATGTTCATTCTTTATAGGATGTCGTCTGCTTGGGCAGTATTGGTCCATTACAGTATTTGCCGGCGATAAGGCCGCAGCGCCGTATAGGCCGCACCCCCGATTTTGACATTTTAAAAAAAAAAAAAAAAAAAGAAAAAAAAACAAACAATGCAAGATAAAATTGTCGGTAAGATGTGTGGAAATGTA